TCCTGGCCTCTCCCCACAGTCCGTATCCAAGTCTAAGTTTCTTATAGGTTTCACTTTCACTTTCAACCTGCAGTCCGTATCTGAGTCTAAGTTTCTTCTTGCTTTCACTTTAAATCCTAACTTCTTTCCCACAGTCCGTATCTGAGTCTATGCCTAGGCTTTCGATAGCTTCTTCCGGCACCTTTTCTGTCTGGCTTTTCCCTAGGCTCTTTGCTAGTCTCTCTCTCCGGTATTTTCCACTTCTTCCCGTTTCTTCCCTCCATAGGTTTCCTATCTGAGTCACGGCACCATTATGTTGCTCCCATGCATATACACACCCCACACACACCATACACACTGAACACATACTACACACACACCATACACACACTACACACACACATCCCACACACACTACACATACACTATACACACATTATACACACACATCCCATACACACTACACACACACTCTACACACCACACACATATTATGCATACATACACACACAGTACACACACACACTATACACAGACACTATACACACCACACACACACTATACACACCACACACATATTACACACACACACACACAGTGTTCTCTCTGAGAGCCTAGCACAGCTCCAGGAATACAACTCTCAGATAAATGGAGCCCTGTGATGGGACCCTCTGGAGCGTGGTCTCAGACTTGTCGGCACCAAGCCTCCAGCAGCCCGTCTGTCACACTTTAGGTTTTTCTGCAGGTTGCCACGGCGGTGTCTGGTGGCGAGCTGAGTTCTCCCCATTCACCTGTCCACCCCTGCCCTTTGAGGGACAGTGGTTTGCCCAGCGACCTCGCGTCTACTGCAGGCCTGGGAAGAGTTGCTGATTCTTCCATTGGCTCAGCTTTTTCCTTGCTGGGAGGTTGCGATGGCAACTTCCAAGCTTCTTTCATGCTGCACCAGAAACGAGAAACTCAGAAAGCATTCTTTATTTTTAGTTCTCAAAACCATTAAAACAACCCAAAGACTCATCAACTGGTGGGTGAATAAAAACGTACAAAGTAGGATCACCTAGCAATAGGAAGGAGTGAGGGGCTGGCCTTTGGTCTAGCTGTTAAGATGAGGCTTGGTTCACCTTCCTCACGTTGTCAATGCCCGCTTGGAGTCCTGGCGCTCGCTCTCTCTCTCTCTCTCTGTCTCTCTCAAATAAATGATAAAATAGATAAACAAAAACAGACTCTTCTACCTAAGGCTTAAAAATAAAGGAAAGCAGGGCTGATACCAGCCACAACATGGCTAAACCTCAAAAACATTATGTGAATAACAAGAAGCCACATACAGAAGACCCCGTTTTGCACGACGCCACTTCGATGAATCGCTCAGAAAAGGCAATCCCTAGAGTCAGGGAGTAAATGAGTGGTGACAATTGATTGTAAATGAGCAGCAGGAATCTTACCAGGTGATGGAAAGGCTCTGAAATTGGGTGGCAGTGATGAGCACACCCTCAAGAATTTACTAAAAATCACTGTGTACTTCAAGCAGGTGAATTTTGTGGAGTATAAGCAATACCATAGTGAAGTTGGATTTTTTTTTAAAGCATAAAGATTTATTGGCAAGGGGCCAGCATTGTGGCTCAGCAAGCCAAGCCACCACCTGCAATGCCAGCATCCTACATCAGAGCACCAGTTCAAGTCCTGGCTCCTGGCTGTTCTGCTGATCCAGCTCCCTTCTAATGCACCTGGGAAAGCAGTGAAGGACGGCCCCCACCACCTATGTGGGAGACCCGGATGGAGCACTGGGTTCCTGGCTTTGCCTTGGACCAGCCCTGGCTGTTGTAGCTGTTTGGGGAGTGAACCAGCAGATGGAAGATTCATTCTCTCTCTCTCTCTCTCTCTCTTCCCCTCACACTCTTCTCTCCCTCTCTCTCTCCTTTATCCTCTCTCTTTCCCCCTCTCCCCATCCCTGTCTCAAGTAAGTAAATAATCTTTAAAAAGGATCTATTTGTAAAAGAAAGCATTAAGAACAAAATAAGCAATGCCTTCTATCATTATGTCAGCAGTATAAATTCTTTCTCCTCCTCTTCCTCCTCCTCTGTCTCTTCTGAGGTGAGATTTTACTTCATCTCCTGCAAAAATGCTTGTCATTCACCTAAAAATGCGACCTGGACGCTTCCCACACCATGTGATGTTTATTCCTGTATCGTTTGACTCCGGACAATTTGTGGTTTTCTGGTCATATGTCTCTAGATCACGCTCCCCATATGTGATCTGTGTGCCCGTCATGGCTGTGGGAGTAAATTTCTAGAAATCAAAGATGAAAACCTATTTAAGGCTTGGAGAAACTTCTGGCGACTGTGAAGTGAGGTCGGGTGTTCCATTTCCCCTCTGCACCGACAGCTGAGCAAGTGTCTATTTCCAAACAGCCTCATCAAAGTTGGGTGTTATAGTTTCTTTTCTATTTTGCCAATTAGGTGACAAAACCTGGTTTCTCACTGCTGGTTGGAACTGAGTTGATTTCATTGTTAGGCAGGCTGCATTTTTCTTCATGCATGAACAGCTCATTTGCAGTACTGTTCTCTTTGGCAAAACATCCCGACTTGTCCTCCATACATTTTTCTGTTGGAGGATTTGTATTTGTTGTTGTTGTTGTTTTTTATAGAATAAGACCATCGGGGCCTGCACTGTGGCTTAGTGGGTAAAGCCGCCACCTGCAGTGCTGGCATCCCATATGGGCACTTCTGATTCAGCTCTCTGCTATGGCCTGGGAAAGCAGTGGAAGACTGCCCAGGTCCTTGGGTGCCTGCACCCATGTGGGAGATCTGGAGGAAGCTCTTGGTTCCTGGCTTTGGATCAGCCCAGCTCCGGCCATTGTGGCCATCTGGGGAATGAACCAGCGGGATAGAAGACCTCTCTCTCTCTCTCTCTCTCTCCCTCTCTCTCTCTCTTTCTCTCTGCCTCTCCTTCTCTCTCTGTGTAACTCTGACTTTCAAATAAATAAATAAATCTAAGAAAAAAGAATAAGACCGTCAGCCTTTATGTTGTGATATGTCTTATAAATATCTTCCCCAAGCCTGTTGTCTGCCACTTGATTTTGTTTATGATGGTGTTGGTATACAGGAGCTTTATGTGAGTTCCGCAGTTACCAATCTTTCTCCTGCAGTTTCTGACTTCATTGAAATGCTTAGAAAGCCTCTGACTCCAACCGGATGCTGCTCATCTCTGTTTTCTTTCTGGAAGTTCCATGGTGCTTTCTTCCCTTGTTTCCTTGTTATTTCGTCTTTAATCCATCGAGTTCATTTTGATGCCTGGATTAAGATTAGGGTCCAACTACAATTTCTCCCAACTAATTGAATCGTTGCCACAGCACAGTTAATGAATCTCCCATCCTTTACTTGCTACATGGAAAGAGCCACCTGTTTCATGTCCTAAGTGCCTGTCTCTACTTGAGCCTTCTAGGGCCTTTCTGTCCTTCTGTTGATCTATCTGTGTTTTCATTTGCTCCCACAACATGGTTTTAATTAGTTTGGCTTAATGATATATTGTAAAATCTGGCAGCACAAGTCACCTCTCATCATTAAAACATGTTTTGATCACCAGCTTATGTTTCATCTCCCAGATACATTTTAGAGTCATTCTATCAAGTTAAAAAAAATTCTTCCACAATGCTGATTGGAATTGAATTCAGCTGGAAAATTGGGGCTGGCATTGTGGTGCTGCACGTTAAGCTGCCGCCTCCTATGCCGGCATCCCTTATGAGCGCTGGTTGAGTCCCGGCTGCTCCACTGCCAATCCAGCTCCCTGCTAATGCGCCTGGGAAAACAGTGGAAGATGGTCCAAGTGCTTGGGTCCTGGCCACCCGTGCGAGAGACCCGAATGGAGTTCCAGGCTCCAGGCTTTGGCCTGGCCCAGCCCTGGCTGTTGTGGCCTTTTGAGGAGTGAGCCAGTGGAGGGACGATCTCTCTCTTTTTCTGTGTCTCTCCCTCTGTAACTCTGCCTTTCAAAATAAATAAATCCTTCATTTAAACTGAAGAATTAATTTGGAGAAACTTGACACCTCTCCCCTCGATCCTTACCATCCACGTGCGTTCTCGTCTTAGTGTTTGTATCTCTGACTTTAAGGTATTTTCACTTTAAAATTGAAAATTGCACCCTCCCGACTTGGTTTATTATTACTTATTTAAATTTTTGCTGATGTTGTGAAGAAAACCCTTCAGCCGTGAAGTTTTCCTACTGGCTGTCACTGATATGAAAAAAAAAAAAAAACACTATTAATTTGTGCGAACTGATCATTTAACTTCTCCACTGGCTCTTACTTGTTTTCCTACTTAGGGAACATTTTAAGGGTTTTTCAGGGGACGTTTCTATCATTTACAAATAAGAATTTACTTCCTTCCAAAAGTCCTGCCTCTAAATTCATTTCCTCTTTTATTTCGTCCGTGAATGGTGTGGCATAAATCTTTGCCAAGTCTTGTTTTGCTGTTGTTTCTCTTTAATGAGGGTGCCTCTGGTGTTTCACCATTAGTGTGATATCAAAGAGCGATTTGAGCTCCAGATGCTTCAAGGGACTGTCTCTTCTGGAGCAGTTTTATTAAGCGTTCTTAACAGCAGTGGATATTGGATTTCATCAAGAGCTTTCCTGCATTTTGCGAGTTGCTCAGATGTTGTCTGGGTTTGTTTTCGCCTTTGAACTACTGATGTGGTCGAATGATATTCATAGATTTCCTCATAGTGAACCAGTCTTACATCCCTGGAATAAACCTCTACATGGCCATGGCGTTGTTATAATATCCTGGTAGATTCCCCTTGCCGGAGCCCAGTGGAGAATTTTCAGAGCAGTGTTAATAAGTGGGTAATTTTATTTTGGCCCTGTCGGGCTCTGTCATCAGGAAGTTGCTAGTTGAGTGAAATGAACTGGAAGGGCTTGTTTATTTCTCGTGCTCGGGCAGTTTCTAGTTGTGGCGGTTATCCGGGATTTTAGTGACTGGTGGGGGTAGGGAACCCTTGCTTCCCCAGCACACACCGTGTTGCCTGTCTCACAGGGGGTATCTTCGAGTATGCCGACGGCCCCAACGCCCAGGTCATGAACGCCGAGGAGCACGCCTTTCGGTTTTCTGCCAACATCATCAACAGGAACAGGACTCTGCTGCCCAACACGACCTTGACCTATGACATCCAGAGGATCCACTTCCATGACAGCTTCGAGGCCACCAAGAAGGGTGAGTGCTATCTTCCCAGAGGGGGCAGGGGCGGGGCTGTGTTCATTGTCCAAGGTCCTGCCCGTGGGCCCGGAGCTCTGGGTGGTTTTGGAACCTGGAGTCCTTTGTGTGTGGTCCTGGGCCCTCCCTGCCCTAGGCCCAGTGCAGTCCCCGGGGAGCAGGAGCAGTGCCACTGGCACAGGCTGTGAGAGGCTGCAGGGGTGGGGGTGAGAGGGTGGGAGCCTCAGTCTGGGCTGGGACCGGCAGTAAGGCAGCCAGCCCCGGTCTCCAACATCTCTGAACCAAATCAGGCACTTGGCATACTCACTGCTTCCTTTGTTCGTTTTATTTTATTTTTAGTGGACACATAATAATCGTAACTATTTATGGGGTACAAGGTGATGTTTTGGTGCGTGTTTACATTGTGGAGAGGTCGAATCAGTAATCAGCCGATCCATCACCGCACACATTGGTCTTTTCTTTGTGATGAGAACATGCACGGTTTCTCTCTTAGCTATTTCGCAGTCACCTTGCTGTGAAAACTAGTGGCTTTCTTGCACTGAAAACCTATCCAGACATAGACGTTGCCTAGTAGTTAAGATGCCCTTGTCCCATAGCAGAGTGTCTGGGTTCAAATCCAGGCTCTGCTTCTGATTCCAGCTGCCTGCTAAGGTGGACGCTGGGAAGCAGCAGTTAATGGGTCAAGGATGGTGGGGAAGAATGAGAAACAGGGTAAGACTGGAAGCAGAATGGAAAATGCTGGTTATTTGAAAGAGGCAAACTGATGCCCTTGAAAATCTTCGCTGAGCACCAGCTGTTGAGGTCCTGAGGTGGACACGGCAGCGATGGGCAGCCCTTGCCGCCGTGGGGCTTGTGGCTGATGTGACTGAAACAGCAGGTGCTGGACTGGGAGTTGCAGGCTTTAAGTCAGGAAAGGGAAGATGGACCCTTGACTTGACCCAGGAGTGTGTGGTTACATGAAACAGACACCTACTCCAGCTAGCTCAAGACAAACATAAGCACCACTCAGATCAAGCTAGAGACCACGCAGGCTTCCGCCACAGCCCTCCCAGTCATTACCCCCCACCCAGGGCCCTAGTGCTGCACACTAGTGTTGCCTTTGTGTGCACTTCACGTACACAGAGCCATGCCGTGTCTACTTTTTGAGCCTCGCTCCTTTTGCTGGGCAGTCTGTCCTTGAGAGCCGTCGATGTTGTTGGCCATAGTAGTAGTCCCTTCTGCACTGATGTATGGGGACCCTGATCTGAGTAGCTGCCACAGTTTGTAAGTTTGTTTTACTGCTGTCGCACCTTTGGGTTGGTTCCATTTGGAGCTCTCACGGGCAATACTGCTACACACACGCTTGTCCGTGTGTTGCGGTGTGCACACGCGCTCTGTTTGCTGGGTGTATACGTAGGAGTGCAGAGTGGGCGGGCCCAGCTGTGTCGGGAGTTGTGGCTCTGATCCGCTCTCCTCCACCAGCGCACAAGCCTGGCGCTTGCTCTGCGTCTGCACTGAGAGTGGGAAAGTCACTTGTATTTTGCAATTTTGGCCATGCTGGTGGTTTCTGTAGTGGATAGCTCACTGTGGCTTTCTTCCGTATTCCCCTGATGACGAGGGATATTGAGCACATTCTCTCCTGCTAATAGGTCATTTGAATCGTCTCTTCCTTGGAGTGCCTTTTTAAGCCTTTAAGCCACTTTTTAAAAATTGAGGAATTTTCAGTACATTCATGAAAAATGTGTATTAGGACAAAACTGTACGTGGGTTTCAAATTTTTTTCTGCACCAAATTTAATGTATCTTTTAGTTCCATTTTTCTATGAATTTTTAAAGTAACTGTGTGTATGTGTGCATGTATCTGTATGTATATGTGTGTGATATCCATTGCACACTCTTTTTTTTAAATGTCTTTATTATTATTATTTATTTATTTATTTGTCAGGTAGAGATATAGATAGTGAAAGAGAGAGAGACAGAGAGAAAGGTCTTCCTTCTGCTGGTTCACTCCCCACATGGCCGCTACAGCCAGCGCTGCGCCGATCCGAAGCCAGGAGCCAGGTGCTTCTTCCTGGTCTCCCACGTGGGTGCAGGGCCCAAGCACCTGGGCCATCCTCCACTGCCCTCCTGGGCCACAGCAGAGAGCTGGACTGAAAGAGAAGCAACCGGGACTAGAACCCAGCGCCCACCTGGGATGCCAGCACCACAGGCAGAGGATTAACCAAGTGAGCCACAGCATGGCCCCACACTCTTTGTTTTTAAAAATTGATTTATTTGTTTGAAAGGCAGAGTTAGAGAGGCTGAGGCAGAAGGAGGGAAGAGACAGAGAGAGACAGAGAGAGAGAGAGGTCTTTCATCTGCTGATTCACTCCCAATTGGCCACAATGGCCAGAGCTGCGCCAATACAAAGCCAGGAGCCAAGAGCTTCCTCCAGGTCTTCCCATGCGAGTTCAGGGGCCCAAGGACTTGGGCCATCTCCTACTGCTTTCCCAGGCCACAGCAGAGAGCTGGATCAGAAGAGGAGCAACCATGAGTTGAACTAGCACCCATATGGGATTCCGGCACTGCAGGTGGTGGCTTTATCCACTACACCACAGTGCTGGCCCCCATTGCACACTCTTACTAGTCTCTTATTTATTTACTTATAATTTATTTGAGAGATAGAGCCCTATTCACTCTTTCATTCTCCAAATGTCTATAGAAACAGAGCTGTGCTGGAGCAAGGGCCAAGGGCTAGGAACGGAACTCAGTGCAGGTCTTCCATGCAGGTGGCAGGGATCCAAGCTCTTGAGCCGTCACCTGCTGCTTCCTAGGGTCTGCTCTAGCAGGAAACTGGAACCAGCTGGTGGAGCTGGGATTAGACCCAGACACTTTGATATGGGATCTGATGTGGGGCATGGGCACCTTACCTGCTAGGCCACTCACCCGGCCAGTAGTAGCTTTTGGGGAGCAAAAGAAGTCCAGTGCATCAATATTTTCCATCATCATTCATGTCTTCTGTGTCCTGTGTAGGAAGCCTTTGTCCTAAGATCGTGAACGCATTCCCCCGTGTTTTCTTCTAGGAGATCTCTCGTTTCATCTTTCATAGTCCCCCTGAGAATCTATTTCTAATTGATTCTCTGTGTATGGTGGGAGGGAGGGGTTGAGATGTATTTTTTGTATGATGCTGGTGGGTGTGAAAACTTTAGCCTCTCAGGAAAACTGTTTGCCTCTGTTGAGCTTTGCATCTCCTAAAACTTGTGCTGCAGGATGCTCCCAGCCGCTTCAGGGATGGGAACCGAAAGGTGGGAATAAATCAAGAGCCCGTCGGTGGAATAGACAGACTGGGGTACAGTTACCCCATGGGATTTCGATCAGGAATAAAAAGAACAAAATCTCACAACACACGCAGTATGGATGAGCCTTCCAGACCAAGTGTTGAGGAACAGCCTAGTGGTTAGTAGCCTAGTAGGGGAGGTGGTGATGTGCACGCCTGGAAGGAGGTGAGAGAGAATATTTGAAAGCGTTGAGAGCATCCTACATGTCGCCCAGGTAGTGAGGGAGAGGCAAGCGTGTGATGGCTGGGCGCAGTGGCCTCTCAGATGTCATAAAGTCACGTGTTTAAGATGAGCGCACTTCACTATGTTGTGCGAGGTCTCAGAGCCCAAGGTAGGCGGCTCGTTGTCCCTCAGGTAACACACCTAAGACCGGCGGCTGGCCTCTGCTGGGCTCCCAAGTGCTGGTCTGACCCTGGCTGCATTTCTGCTTAGGGTTGGGTCTTGCTCCCTCATTGGGCACCTCCCATGCTTTGGGGAGCCTTGTGTTCTCACGGACTCTATTTCTCTTTTGACTTTTGCATTTCCAAACCGGAGCATTGTTAAGACTCAGCTGAGGGGCTGGATTTGAACCTACCTCTGATTAATCCACTGATCCTGCCTCCCCCAGACAGAAGTTCCCGCCGCCGCTCCCTTCCCCACTAGCTGGACGGGGCCCTGGCACCGCCTACCCTGCCTGCTCCGGTTGAATCAGTCCTTCCCTCTGCGTGAGCCCCAGGAGGCTGTTCCCCATTAAAAAGGACTTTCAGTTATTGTCTTTATTTTTAAATGTGTTGTGGAAAATTAAAAGATGAGTGACTGCCAGGCAGGGCCCGAGCCAGCTACCCGGAGAGCGTCCGTGTTTTCTTCCAAGCCTGACCGGCGCGGGCCTGGAATCGACCCAGCGCTCCCCAGGCTCCTCTGCCTTCACTTATTCTCCGAGCTGCTCAATTCCTTTTAAGACACAAATTGATTGGGATAATTTTTGCTATAACTACAATTGCCATGGAAGGGGGCGGGAATGCATTCAGCCTGTGGACTCCTGCAATGATGGTGAACCATTGAGTTACTGTAAAATGACCAGAAAATGGATTCAAAATTGAAGCCACAAATAATGTAATTACTGCAGTGTGTGCTCAGGGCTGCCAGAAGGAGGGTTGGCTGCAGCCCTGGAAACATCTGGGGGTAAGGCTGCGCGGGCACCGCCACTCTCACCCCTGCCCTGGCCCCTTGGAGGCCGCAGCGTCCCTCCGAGCTGGAAAGGCCTCATAGAATGGAAGGGACCCGGAAGGTCCAGATAAAGGGATGTGGAGAGAGACCAAGAGAAGAAGCAGGTAAGGGGCAGGGCTGATACCTCCAGCTTCCCGACAGCGGGGTCTAATTACGGCCCCTTGGCAGAAGGCACCCTGGCGTGGCGGTTTTGTTGTCATCTGCAATATCAACATTGTCTCACTCTCACCGTCAGTAGTGCCACACCCCTGCACCAGCATCACCATCGACAGTGGCGTCACCTCCACGCTTAACAACATCAGCAGTACAAGCAGCACCCCCTGCTGTCATCTCCCCTATGGCTACCATGGGAGCCACACCATCACCGTCACCATCACCAACCTCATTCTCCTCCTTCCTGCTGTCATCATTACTGTCACTGTCACAGCCTTAACGTCGTCATCATCACCAGTCTCATCAGTGCCAACACCACCACCATCCCCCTCATAACGGCGTCACCGTCGGCTTTGTTACCACTTCTTCTCTCAACACTCCTCCTGTCACCATCCTCATTGCTGTGACAGCGGGTCTCGTCAACCCCAAGGTCGGCATCCCCATCCCAGCCCTGTGGTCACAGCGTCGGCTTCATCATCTGTTTTGCCATCCAACCCGGCCATCACAGCCGTCAGCAGCCCCACAGCAGGATCTTCAGCATCACCACTGCTGCTGCGGTGACTCCCTCACTCCCCTCACAGTCAATGTCAAACTCAAAATCACTGCCTGCAAGAGCACCTGACAGTCCTCTGCATCTGCATGCTCTGTGCTTGGCCTGCACTCCTCTGCCTCGGTCAGACAGGGCGTCTGCACCTTGGAGCTGGGGAGAGAGCTTGACCCAGGAGCTTGGGCTGTGTGGGGTAGCATTTGCCTGCTTGCTTTGAGGCATAGACCAAAGAAGGAAACTCAAGACAGGGTGGGGGGTGGGTGCGGCAGATCCTTGTACGTGGTGGTGGAGAGAATGAGACAAGCAAGTGTTTCAACCAAGCCTTCCGCCTGTAAGTCCTAGGAGAAAACAGCCTAGAGACAGGAAGTGGTAAGACAGAAGCCAGAGAGAGCAGATAAGAGCTAAAAGGTTCAAAGTAGACACAGGAGGTGGAGCATCAGAGAAACCCACAGACTGTAAAGGGTGCTCACAACCTCAGGCCTGGGCAGCAAGGTGCGTCCAGACCCCCATGGCTGTCACTGTCCCCAACTCCTCCATGTTGGTATCCAGCCTCCGTGGCCACAGGGTGACTCTCAAGTGGTCCCTTCCTACAGGGGACACTGTCTTTTACAGTGACAGACAGGGTGATTGAGGCACACACCCGATGCACCCAGACAGCAGAAGGATGGAGCCAGGGGGAGACCAGGGGAGGGCAGGGCCTCCATGGGGACAGGGAACCGAAAAGGAGACCTGTCCCTGGATGTGACAGTTTACCAACAGGCTCCCAGCTCCTGTTTCTGCACTTCTTTTCACTGGGGTTGCTCTGAGGCACACACTCACCCCGAGTGGCAGAGCAGGGGCAAAATGGGGCTTTGCTGACTTGAGCTGTGATCCCCGCACCCTAGGAGCACCGGGAAGCCACCCCTTGCCCTGCTGTGTGTCCTCTTCTGCACTTGGCATTGAGCGTTGGCTGTGAGGAATCCTGCATCTCCCAGGAGATGCTCTCGGCCCTGCTGGCCCATGTTCTAGGTGGTTCCAGAAGACTTCTGACAGCAGCTAGCTGCCCCTGCCACTGCACTGCTGTGCCTTTCATCTTGGTCCATCTCTGCTGTCTTTGGGGAACCACAGATCTCAGGAAAAATAACCACTTGCATAACATCTCCCGTGTCCAGGAGGCACTGCAGGTGGTGGGTGTCAGCCAAGAGGAACAAAGCTCAAAACCAGCCACCCTGGATCATTCGGTGCCACCCTGAAGCCCAGCCAAGGAGGAGCCCCTCCCAGGGCCTGTGCTTTTGAGGGGCTGCCCCCTTCCCTGGGAGGCCTCTCTGCCCTAACCAAGCAGAGGGGCTAAGGAGACCCACCCACCAGGAGCCTGTGCCCTGCCCTCGGGGCATTGCTCTGAGCATCTAGAACCAGGAACTTCCTGCCCAGTTGGCTCTGAGAGCCCTGGCAGGGCCTGGGTCCGGCCTCCGGAGAGAGAGCTGTGCTTCCAGGGAGCCCACTTCCAGACCCTAGGTGTGACCAAGGGCAGCGCTTTGCAGAGGGTGCTGACTGTGCTTGGCCATAAGGGCTGGGGTGTCCACCTGGAAGATGCCAGGCCCCTGATTCCTGGACGGAGCCAGAGGCATGAGGGAAGGGGGCAGGCCGGGGGGCTGGGGGCCTCGCCCACCCCTCACTGCATACGGAAGGTTTCCAGCCTCACCTGACTGTCCAGGCTCTCGGGAAAGGTCCATTTGCCGAGGGAGGGAGACAGGGTATGTTGTGTTTCCCAGTTTGTTAGCTTGACCCTGTCTTCCAAGGTTTAAGTCTTCAGCCACACATGGTCCTCCCTTTGCACTCTGTCCCTGAGCCCTGCGAATCTTTGTGGCAGGCCTGTCCCTGGTGGGTCACGAATCCACTGCGTGCTCACACCCAGGTACCCTGTCCTGCCTCCTCCTGCGTGCATCACAGGTTCATACATGCCTGTGTGTGTGTGTGTGTGTGTGTGTATACACATGTGTGTAGTATTCCCACAGCCACAGGCTGGTGAGTTCACTGATGCTGGGTTGGTGCTGAGTTGGGGCTTTCCGGTAGTAAATGGTAGAAATACTCGGGCGAGAAGAGAGCAGATTGGTTCACGTGACCGGAGCCCTTGGCTTCACTCCACCTGGCCCCTGTGGCTCCCTTGGCTCTGCTCACACTGAGTGCTCGCAGTCCTGCGGCTCCCTTTACTGGCACAGCTGCTGCAGCGCCAGCTCTCATGCCCCCTCTCTTGGCGGGGAGCTTTCACGACATCCCACGGGCTCTGACCGGTCCCATGACAAGGCTGGGACAGGGGCAGTGATTGAGGAAATGAAGGAATGGTGGGGGAGGGGGGAGAAGGTGCTTAGCCAGTGTGGCGGGACGGAGGTGGGGCAGTGATGACCCCTGTGTCACAGCCAGAGGAGCCACGGTGGTGGGGGTGACAGGGGCGGGGAGAAGATGCCACGAGTGGGTCCTGCTCTGCGCCCCTAAGGGCCTTGTCCTCCTCACTGAGACGGGAGTCCTGGGGCAAATGAGTGCCACAACCCACCTTACACCGAGAAGGGCTTGTTCTCCACCGCTGAGCGCAGTGTGGATGGCAGGGCTGTCCCAGGCAGCGAGCAGAATGTGTTTTGTTTCCCTGTTTGTTAGCTTGACCTTGACTTCCAAGGCTTAACTCTTTAGCCCCATCTGGTCCTTCCTTTGTACCCGGGCCTCGAGCCCTGCGGAGGAGACTTCTGATGTATCCAAAGGGAGGAGGATGGTGGCTGCGTGGACCAGGGCGGTGGGCGAGGGGCGTGGCTGCAAGCATCGGTCGGGTTGCAAGCTGTATGGAAGCTGGAGCAGCAGGGGCTGCTGGGGGCGGGGCTGTGGGCTGTGAGAGACTGAGCCGAGTCCGGACAAAACCAGGGTCTTGGCGTCAGGGCCTGGGCCCAGACAGCTGCTGCCTGCTGAGACAGGGGAGTCAGGGGGGAGCCGGGGAAGCTATGTCTGGACGTCTCTGGTCTGGGTTGCAGCTTCGATGTCCCCGTGGCCGTGCAGAGGGAGAGGTGAGACGCGCGAGCCAGTTTTGGGGAACAGGTCAGGGCTGGAGACCGAAGGCGGAGAAGCATCAGCCAGTAGATGTCTCCTGTTTGTTTCCCAAGTTCCCTCCAGGACGGGAGGTGGCACAGGGCCTGGATGCTTCTCATCACGGCTGTGGGCCTTTCTAAGCGCTCCAGTCTCGCCCTGCTGTCTTGCTCAGCCTGCCTCTGACCCCACGAGGTCAAGGCTGTTGGAACTCCCTTTTCAGACAGGAGCTTGAGAATCTGAGAGGTCGTCAGGCAGGTGCCCTCTGAGGGTGCCCCTCGCTCTTTCCCCAAGTGTCTCTGTGATCCTCACCTTCGCTGCCTCTCCCCCGCTGCAGCCCCCCAGCACTGACCTGTGGCACCCTCCCCCCGTTGCAGCCTGTGACCAGCTGGCGCTGGGCGTGGTGGCCATCTTCGGGCCTTCCCAGGGCTCCTGCACCAATGCCGTGCAGTCCATCTGCAATGCCCTGGAGGTGCCCCACATTCAGCTGCGCTGGAAGCACCACCCGCTGGACAATAAGGACACCTTCTACGTGAACCTCTACCCCGACTACGCCTCTCTCAGCCACGCCATCCTCGACCTGGTGCAGTACCTCAAGTGGCGGTCGGCCACCGTGGTCTATGACGACAGCACAGGTGGGTGGTGGGGCCTACGCTGGGCTGGAGGCGGGTGGCCCGGGTGGGGAGGGAGGCCGAGCCCGGGGATCAGGAGTTTGTTCGCCACTGGGGAGAAGTCCGCGTCACACTGATGCTCACCCCTGCTCTCCGGCACACCAGCCACACTCATGCCTCACTCAACCCCAGGCAGCCTCACACCTGCCCTCCCCCTCCCCCCACCCCTGCAGTGCGCATGCTCCAGTGTGCATGCAGTACCTCCCCTGGCACCCACATGTGCAACCACACCCACATTGCACTCAGATGTTCCCGTCTGCTGCAAGCATGCCTGCTCTCACACTTGCACACTCACACTTGCACACTCACACATGGCGCTCATTTACGGCTGGCCTCGTGTTGAGTGTGTATGCACAGTGGGCAAACCACCTGGGCTTTACATCCCAGCTTCACTTCCTGTTGGCTGGATAACCTCTTTCTGCCTCAGTTTCCTTGTTCATAAAGCATGGGGATTAAAGGGCATGATGTGTGCAAGCACCTGGCACACAGTGAGTGCTCAGAAGTTAGCTTTTCACATGCACACCTGCCTCTGCCCACCCTCACGCACAAACGTCTGCACACACCCAGCCATGCCCACACACAGACAGCAGCTGCTGCCCTACCTGCGTGACCACTTATTGTGGCCAGAGGCAGGCCCGCAGAAGTGGGTGCTGGGTGCTTGTCTCTCCCTCTGGGGCGGAGAGAGGAAATGAGCCTGGGCCTATGGCTCTGAACTGCAGGCCCAAGCCGACGCCCTGGTGAGTGGAGGTACCTGTCCCACACCCCCTGCCCAGCTGCAGCCAACATCAGGCATTCCTCTGGGTAGGACCTGTTTGGCCCAGTCCGGCCCAACCTCCCAAGTCCAGGCTGGGCCCTGGCTTCCAGAAAGCTCTTGCTGCAATGTGGTCCCCCCACCTCTGCATCCCAGGCCTCTTAGCGTGGGCTGAGTGCACACTGGGCAGACATCCACTGGCCAGTGCAGCAGATACTCTGGGCTTTTCCTTTAGGCTTCACCCACTGCCAGGAGCTGGGGGAGCCTTGAAGAATAAAAGCCAGTCATGGTGTGGTCCTGGCAGGCTCTGCGTGCTGTGGGAACGTGGGCAGGGCACCCTGTGGCTGTCCGTGGAAGCTCTATGCAGGGAGATCATGGGCTGCAGCAAGTCGCCAGTGGGGCCTGGACACGCAGGGGGCAGGAGGGAGAGCCTCAGAGGTGCTGACCCTGCCAGATCCTGCCCTTGTCCCTGTCATCCTGATGTGGATGCCCGGGACAGGCACAGCCCCAGGGAGTCCTCTGGGGGGGAGCAGAGAAAGGCTCCTGGATCCGAGCCTTAGAAAGACTCCCACTTCCCCGACACACACCAAGTGGTGCCCATGTGGCCTCATTTGGTGCGTGTGACCCCCATGCGCACTCCAGGAAGTGAGAACGAGGCGGCTGGCCCTGCACACCGTTCCCAGCAGCGAGCGTCAGAACCAGCCTGCACCTGCAGGCCTGCTGGAGTCCCAGGCCCGAGCTCAGAGCCTGCGTGGAGCTGTTTGTTTCTCCTCCTCCTTCTTTCCAAAGACTCAAGTCCCAAGATATTTCTTAGCCCAGCCTCTTCAGAGAGAGTGACCTTGGCAAGTCACTTAACCCATCTGGCCTCGCTCTGCTTGCGTGTCAAGAGCTCCACAGCCAGCCTGAGAAGAGCCCTCCAGCTCTCCGCCTCCTGCGATTCAGCAGCAGTCCTCAATTACCTCCTAACGGGGAGTGCGAATAGCAGGGAGAGGCTCCCTCGGGAAGCCAGCCAGGACGCTGTTGATGTATCTCGCTGTCTCTAAGCATCGTACAGGCCAGGCTGCACCCCAAACACTAAGCTGAGCAGGGACTCCCCCCCCCAACTCCGGCTTAGTGCCCCCAGCTCAAGGGCTCCACCGCTCCTGCCCAGCTCCGGCCCTCCCCCCAGCTCCTGTGGCGTGTGGGGTGTGCCACTCTAAATGATTGCCATTGCTTCTTCCACAGCACGAGCTCTGGGCGCCGCCAAGATTTAGCACGGGGCCTGGTACAGTGGAGCTGGTTTTTAAATGTTGGTGGAACTGAATCGAATTGGATGGGATTGAGCTGAATGGAAAATCAAGTTGAATTAAACTCTAATTAAATATCACAAGGAGGAGTAGAAGGGTGAAGAAATGAAGATGTTGTTCCTGTCTCCCTTGGACTAGTTCATCGTACTGCAGGGAAGAGGGTGCCTGCGCAGAGGCCACTGGTCATTCCAGGCTGCAGAGCCAAGAATCCAGGGAAGGGCATGGGTGGTCAGAGCCGGGAGCCTTGGGGAGTGGAAGCTCCGTGGCCCTGGTTGGTCTGAGCTGACTGCACGGAGCGGGAGAGAGATGAGCTGGGCCCTGAGATGGCTGGACAGCGAGGGCATGGCAGGTGCAGGGACAACACGAGGAGGTGGCAGTGTGCGTGGCAGTCTCATCAACTGAGCGGCCTGGCAGAGGGGGCCAGGATTCAAGTGTGGAGGGGCAGGGTGGGGGGAGCTGGGATGTCGCTGCTGGTCACTGAGTTCAGACTTTATGTTCTGAGCGGCCGAGGGCCCCTGGGTGTGGTTGAGTGCAGGAGGAGAATGACACAGGAGAGTTCCGGGGAGCCAGGCCCAGGGAGGGCAGGGGGAGAGCCTGGAGCGAGAGCTCTGATGTGCAGGTGGCTGTACTGGTGTGGGCAGGATCAGAGGACGCTGAATTTGAGGGGGTGCTTGGTTGGAGGAGAACTTGAGGCCAAGATGGAAGAGAAGACGTGGCCGTGAGCAGGGTGCTGTTGAAACCATGTCGTTGGAGTGTCCTGGGTGCAGAGCAGTCTGCCCTGCAGTGCTGGGGCCTCCAGGGTGGTGGGAGTGGGGGAGGGGGAGTCCCTCCAGAGGAAGACGCTGGTGTCACAGTGGACCCCGTAGCAGTGGAACCAGTCAGAGTGGGTGCCATGGCCAGGAGCTTTTTTTCCCATGTGCCTCTAGTACAACCTGTCCAGTGTCTTGGTCCTTAGCTCTGATGGCCTAGAATTAGCAGTGACCCCTGGGTGGGCAGCCACGCCCCGGTAACGTGTTGGACTACCCAGAGGATGACAGGGTAGCTTCTTCATGTCACCATCCTTTCGGGTGCCCAACGCACCCAGTCCTGCAATAGTTAATATTTAGACTTTAATCCAACATGCTCTTTTTTGAAATTTTTTAAAAAAATTTCAATTGACACATAATAATTGTACTTTCAACATGATTTTTCAATTCCACTCAACCCAATTCAATTTGATTCAGTTCAACAACATCTAAATCCATTGGGGGCAGACTGATTTGGTCAAAAAAGATGACGGGTACGAGGGACACAGGACTGAATGTGACCAAGCAGTAACACAAGGGTGCTTTAGAAAGTGGGTGGAAAATGCAATTATCAGACAAGTTGACTTGAGTGCCAAAAAAATTGAAATCTATGCAGTTTTTTCATAATTTGCATTTTCCACCCACTGAGGATCCCTCAGATAACCTGGCAATGAGTGATGGGGAGCAAGAGGCGTGCGCCCGGGATCTGCATCTTTCAAGGGGCAGGACGCCGCGTGCGTCACCAAACCCGTGCGGGCAGAGCAGGTTTCGGCAGCTGTGCCCGTCAGGATGTTCTATAACAGGCAGCCACACTCAAACTGACTTGCGGAACCACTTAGTCTCCCCGCCGACAGGAAGTCTGCATGGGGGCCTGTCCAGGGCTGCTTTAGCAGCTCCACGGAGTCGGGCTGCTGGCCAGGACCGCCACACTCTCTCAGCTTGCGCCTCACCATCGCAAGCCCCACCACCTCACATGATGACATCCCCAGCAGGAAGGAAGGTGGTAGTAGCCAAAGGGGATTTTCCTAGTGGGACCCAGGCCTCTTCCCAGGGAGAAAAGCCTGTGTCAGAATCCTCTAGAACGCAGTCCTGGTGCCGCTCACTGGGCCCACGCCTCCTGCTCTGGACACTATCGTATGAGAACGGGCTTGCTGTCGGTTGGCTCTTGCCAATCAGGGATTATCTCTGGCGACAGGCACACTGCCAGCCACACAGAATCACCGTTCTTTGAGCAAACAATATTGCCACGTAGCAAACCACCCCCAAAACTCGGTGACTCAAAACCATAAACGTGTGTTGAGCTCACGAGAAGGTTGGGGACTTACTAAGCTTGGACAGGCAGATTATGTTCTGGTCTCAGCTGGATCCCTCACCCACCTGAGGGTGGTCAGCTGACTATTGGTTGGTCAAGGCTGTCCTTGACTGGGGTGACAGGCATAGCCCCACCGCCCCTCCCCCCACCTGCCTCGCCTCCTCCTTCAGGCTTGCCACAGTGGCAGAAATGCAAGAGAACAACTCAGTTTGCGATGCCATTCCAGGTGTCTGCCTGGGTCAGGCCTGCTCACACCCCGCTGGCCAAAGCAAGCCACACGGGTCAGCCTAGGGGCGGGCAGTGCAAAGTTACAAGGCCAAGGGTGTGGATGCAGGGGAGAGGAAAGGACTGGACTTGTCCTTGTACTCTACCCGCCTGGAGAGAGACAGTTGAGACGAGGGATGCTTGTGCCATCAGCTTTGCCGCGCCTCCCCCACCTAACTGAATCTGCACAAAGACAAACCGGTGTCCAGGGCGAAGGAAGGAAGGCGCTCAGAGAAAGTCCCCAGCCTCGAAGCAAAAGGTCCCCTCTGTCGTTGTGATCCCATGGCCAGCATGCAGTGGGCCTTGGGTTCTTTATCCTTATGCCCGGGGTAGAAATCTCTGCTCTGCCTGCCTTCTAGGATCGGGAGATGCTTAAATAGGGTAATGAATGCAGAAGTGCTTTGTAAGTGAAAAGTGCGATTCCGGCAGCCGTGATTCACTGCGGATATTTTGAGAGAGACGGATTCGGGAAGCGGCCGGGAAGGACGGCGCGTCTCGGGGCAGCAGAGAGTCCTGTGGCGGGCAGGGCCTCCTCGGGGAATACGCTGATGGGAAGGAGGTCTGACACGTGCTGCTGGGGAATGTGGGTCACCGAGCATTACACGGGCCAATGTGCTTGGCTGACAAGAAGGCCCTGGTGGCCTCTGCTCTGGCATCCAGCCTGTCCCTGGCCTCGTGTCCGGGGCCCCCGAGGCCCACGTGCCCACTAATGCTGTGCAGGAGTGTGAAGACCAAGCAGGTGGCAGGGGGCTGTGCCCTCCGGGCCATGCGGGGTAACAGGCATGAACGGACAGCCTCAATGGGCCAAAGCAAGAGTTTCTGGATGCACAGGGAGGGAGCCAGGCCTGGCTGTAGGCTTGGGCATAGCTGGTAGCCTCCCCTTCCCTTGCTAAGGTCCCTTGCTGTTCTTGTCCTCATCCCCACCATCCCCACCGAATGTGGTGTTAGGAGACGCTGGGACACCTGCTTGATCCAGACCCCTCCAGGCCTCCAAAGCCTTCTTCCAACCCATGCTCCTGGCTTAGAGGCTGACTGTGGGCGGGGGTTCCTGATACCCATGGCTAAAGGCTAGAGCTAGGGGTGGATCCGCCTGAGTCACAGACTGAGGTGGAGGGAGGGGTTTGCTCCTCAAAGGAAAACCAAAGTGCGGCTGGTGGGGTTGGGGGCGGAACGGGGCTGTGGGACGAAGGGAGCTGGGATGCAGACACTGCGCTCCGAGTGCGGCCGGGAGCCAGGCCGGGGAGGGCAGGGCCTGTGGGGACCTGGCTCTGTGCTGGCTCAGCCCCTCCTGCCAGGGCATGGGGAGCAGCAAGCAGAAGAGTCAGCAAGAATGGACTTCGAAATAGGGACAGAAAGGAACTTAATTAGACCTAAGCAAGCCATTTGTCTCCAGGAAGTGACATTCAGTTTTCCCTGGAAGTCCCCAGATGAAGTGGTTTTACAAAATGCCAAGGTGGAGGATGGATTTTTCAGTGTGGGGAGGAAAACACACTCTCAGTCAATCCAATTATGGAAATTCTTGCGAAGTTCCAGCCAAGTGCCATGCCCCATGCACGGAGCTGTGGGGAGCCAACCCCTGGGGTCAAGGTGCTCACAGCAGGACGAGGGGCAGGAGGGGAGGCCAATGTTGAGGAAGCAGGCTACTGAGCTGGGGGTGAGGGACCGTTTGCCTTTGGAGAGGGTCTTTTCTGAGCACAGCAAGAGGGAGGGCTTCACGGAGGAGGTGGTCGCAGAACAGGAAGAATGGGTGGAGGTTACCAAGTGAGCCTGCCTTGGGGAAGGGAGCTGCCTTTTGTGCCCACATCCTGGAAACAGGTTTGCTGGAGATGTTTAGGGAAATTACGTCCCACATCTCAGTGTTGGGGCTGGGGAAGGAAGACTGGCGGCCTCTGGCTCAGGCTCTGTAAGTCTCTCCCCCTTTCTGGGTTAGGGAGGAGCAGGTGGCTATGGCCAGTGGGAAATGCTACCTGTGTGAGTGTCCATGTGAACATGACAGGCCTCTATCTTCATATACATGTGTGTTTCGAAGCCCTGTCAACAGGCACAAGCATGGAACCATGTGTCTGTGTGTGTCCACAGCCGCCCTCAAGTCTGTGTGCACACGCAGGCAGGTCCCAGTGTGTGCACATGCGTGTACCTCCGTGTGCTCACGCACATGTCTTTGTGGGTCACATATCAGTGTCCCTGTGCGTCAGACCTGTATGTACGCGAGTCTGAGTGCACACCCCCTCTGTGTCTCTTGTGTCCCGGGCTCCTCAGGGCTTATCCGGCTGCAGGAGCTCATCATGGCCCCATCGAGATACAACATCCGCCTGAAGATCCGCCAGCTCCCCATCGACTCCGACGACTCGCGGCCCCTGCTCAAGGAGATGAAGCGCGGCCGGGAGTTCCGCATCATCTTCGACTGCAGCCACACCATGGCGGTGCAGATCCTCAAGCAGGTGCGTGTCGCCGCCAGCGAGAGCTGGGGCTGCCTGCCACGCCCCCACTCTCCTATCCCGGCATCCCAAACATTCACAGAAAATGCAGATTAGGAAAAGACCGTAGGTCTCCAATTTTTTTTGCACCAAGATAGGTCTTTTATAATTCCATGTTTCCACGAGCTTTTTGGAGTACCCTGATAGAGATGTGATGGTGGCCAGGTCTCAGTCTGACTCCCTCCCTCCACCCTTTCTGGCTGTATGACCTTGGATGTGCCTCTCCTCCCCTGAACCTCAAGGTCACCAGCAGCAGATCGGACACAGTGGTCTTCACACTCGGAGCTGGGGTGAGCATGCGCCATGTGCCCCAGCCCGGCCTGGGTGCGGAGGGCTGGGTAAACGCTGGCTTCTGCTCCAGTTCGTGCAGGGGCACACCAGAGTTGCCACACAGGAGCAGAGCTTCAGGAAACACAGGGAGTGCTTGGCTGCGGGACAGCAACCGCAAGAATGCTTTGAGGCCTCATGCAGTGACTCCTGCCCTGCAGCCCGGCACTGGGTGTCGCTCTCCTATTACAGGAAGGGTCCTCCAGGTTCCTCCAGCCGCTGCAGTGGGGGAGGAGAATGGCTCTGGGTCCTGGAGGGGGCTGTACTCCTGAAAGCAGCTCGGGGGTTATCTAGGGGGCCAGAGCCCCTCCTCTGTGCATGGGGTGATTAACCTCGCCTTGTGCAGCTCCGCACACGCAGGCTGCAGCTAGATAAGCAAAGCCAGGCCCCCACACACGCTCGGCACTAGGCATGCAGCACCCGCTGCACCCAGAGCTCCCCGTCTCTTCCTGGCTTATTCAACATGGCCGTGGTGACCAGCGCAACTCTGGTTTGCCAGCGAACCGAGGCTCAAGGGGAAGATCACGGGCCCAAGGTCCTCCAGCCAGGAGGCCAGCGTTTCCCTAGGTCTGAGCGACCTGAAATCTTCTGGAATTCAAAGGGGGCTGCTGCGCTCCTCCCAGCCCGGGTTTGAGTGAAGCGAGGGCCAGGCCAGCGCTCAAGGCCTTCTGGGACCTGGCAGGTGCCACAGGGGCTGCGTGTCTCCAGGCTGCAGGACAGTGCGCAGCAGTTTCAATGCGTGCTTGACCTGGTGACATTTCCCCGGGCAGTCTGCAGGCCACATATTTTGCGGAGCTCTGTAGAAAGGGCACGGGAGTCATTACGGCTACAGACAGCAGGTTTCTAATCAAGCATGCAAAGTGTACGTAACGTAGACTTCGCGATGCTATAAAGTCATAATCTCCCCACAGTGGCCACATGGCCTGCTCTGTGATCAGACGGACCCAGGCAGCAGGGCTGGCTGGCTAAGTCCTTCAGGGGCAGATCAGCGCCAGGATGGAGCCCCCGCCCCTCCCTGGGTCTGGCTGGGCTTCCTGTTGGTGGGGGGGGCTGTCTGGAGCCAGTGCGGTGAGCTCAGCCGAGTGGAGTCCAGGGCCCTGAGAAGAGCTGTGGTTGATGCATCAGTCAGCATTTCTCTGTGCAGACCCAGGGATGCTTTGCAAAGTACAGGACCCTGCCAGGCTCTGCAGAATTCAAGTCTTGGAGAGCGTGGCCCCCAGCCCTGCCTGTTCGTCTGTGGCTCTCAATTTGCTGCACGCTGCAGTGTGAAATGCACTGCTGCCTACCAGCCGGTCGGTGTCACTTCAGAGGGGGTGGGTCTCAGACAGCACCCCCCCAGCACCCCCGGTGTGATGGTGGGGAGAGGCTGCGGGGTGTCCTGGAGGGCTGCTGACACTCTGCTTCCCTGCAGGCCATGGCCATGGGCATGATGACCGAGTACTACCACTTCATCTTCACCACTCTGGTAAGGTACCTCCACGGCCTGGCCCCAGGGCTGGGTCAGGGTGGGAGTGTCCCGGAGGAGGCCAGGGCCAGCCCACTGGGGACACTCGCTGCAGCCTCAGGGGACCCAGGCTGGCCTCGCTTCCCAAGACTGCGGCCGTGGCTCCCGAGAAGGGTGCAGAGGCAACTTTGCTACCTGCCCACTTTGGAGAAGCCATGCCGTGTGAGGATTGAGCTCAGTGTGAAAATCAGGCTGCTTCCTGGCTGTGGGATCTGGGCAGAGTCATTCAACCTCGCTGCCTCAGTTTCTTCCTCTGCAAACTGGACCTCTTCTTCCTAGGGCTTTTGGAAGAACCGAATGAGCCAGTAGGGTAAAATGCAGAGAGCAGTGCCTGGTGCATGCAGTGCCGAGGGAGTATCAGCTGCCATCACTGCCACGATCCTCTGTGCCTAGCCCCCGTGTCCCCAGGCCAGTCCCAGGCCTCACACGGCAACAGGACATGCCACTTTGATGCCTGCCACATCCACGCTGAAGTCTACCCCCTCGCAGTCAGCCAGGCCAGCCCACCTGCAGCCTCCAGATGGGTTCTGTCCAGACTCTGAGACCATTTAGGGCCATTTAAACCCATTAGGATAATGAGTTGTGGTCTGAGCTCAGCAGAACAAAGAGCTCCCTGTGCCAGAGGGGCATTGACGCCGAGCCACCCTGCCTCGGAGCCAGGCGCCCTCAGACCTCGCTGGGGCCCTGGGTGGACCCCAGGTTGGGAGCGAGGGACAGCACTGCTGACCATCCCCCCGCTGGCACCAAGGATCCTGCTGCAGTCCGGCGAGGCCCTGCTGCTGCAGCCCTGCAGGCCCCTGACTGCGTTCATTCCTCTGCCTGGCACCCAGTAAACCCTTTCTCCCCCAGCTCCTGTGCTGAACCGGGCATCTCCAGGGGGCTAGGACTGTGGCCTTCGTCCCCATGTCTCCATCCCTGCCTCTGGCTCAGCAGACTTGTGCCATCACAGGCTGATTGAGAGGCCTGGGACACTGCGCCTGGGGACTCTTGGGGACCAGGGCCTGGTGGTAGGTGGGAAGTTTGATGGTTGGACTGGGCCTTGAGGATCAGTAGAAGTTCAGCAAGGGAGAGAGAGAGGACGAGTGCTCCATGCAGAGGGAACAGCGTAAGCAAAAGCCCAGAGGCTTGCTCTGGCACGTGAGGGCCACCATGCACCTCCTTCAACTCCACATTGTGTTGAGAGCTTGAAATCGGCCAGGGTAGGGGCCTTAGCACCCTGGACTCGGGCAAAAGTTGCAAACAAGGATTCCCGCTCCCACCATGAGTGGATCACTTAGCGGTTATCAGCTCCTCCCTGCCGTCACCCCAGGCTCCACCTGCTGCATCCTCAGCCCATGCAGAGCTCAGGGGCTGCCCTGCACACTCTTCTGACCAGGGGCCCAGACCTGGAGCCACGCTGGGAGAGGGGGCTCCCTGAGCCTGGTAGATGACGCCTGGCACCTTTTCCCAGGTCCCTGCAGGATCTCTGCCGACCCATGCTGGCTTCTCGGTGCCTTGTGGTGTCCCTGAAAGTCATCAGAGGCTTGGGGCAGGCCAACAGCACCCTCCTCTTCCTCCTCTGTCCAGGGCTGGAGCAAGACCAAGGAACGATAAGACTGGGGGAAGTGGAACAGGACACAGGCCGGGGGCCCAAGGTTCTGTCCCCACTGTGGCAGCCCTCCCCATCCCATCCTGGTCTCTTGGGGTGCGATGCTGGCTTCTGGGTGCAGAGGGTTCAGCCGGCCCTGCCTCAGTCGCTCGGCACACTCTCCTCGAATCTCACCACGCTTGGCCACCTCCTTCAGTCCATGTGTTTTCACAATATGCATTTTCCACAAATTTAAAAAATATTTATTTAATTAGTTGAAAGGCAGGGAGATCTTCCATCTGCTGGTTCATTCCCTAAATGGCTGCAATGACCAGGGCTAGGCCAGACTCAGTCCAGGAGCCAGGAGCTTCATCAGGGTCTCCCAGGTGGGCAACAAGGGCCCAAGTACTGGGGCCACCATCTGCCGCTTTTCCAAGCACATTAGCAGGAAGCTGGATTGGAAGCGGAGTGGCTGGGATTCCAACTCACATTCTTGCTCCTCCATGAGCTTTTTGAAGACTCTTTATACAAATGTCCTGTGGGTTCCAGACCCTGAACTAGGCACTGAGTAGGAGGGGGGCACAGAGAAGAATCCCTCCCAAAGCTCATGAGCCAGCCAGCTTCCTTCCTGTGTGTAAGGACCAAGGACCGTGCTCCCAGTTAACCTCTCTGCCTCCAGTGCCTGGTACCCCACCGATGTTCATTCATGCCTTCACGGGTGGATGAATGGATGGGGGAGTGAATGTAGTACAATGTCAAGTGGAATTAATGAGTGGAATTACCAGTGCATCATCATAGCCCACAGACCCTGGAGCCAGTCAGAGCTAGACTTGGGACTCGGACTGGTTCTTAACCTCTCTGTGCCCCCTCTCCCTCTGTAGCAGGGTGACAGTCACAGCACTGTTTATAGAATGGCTGGGATAAGTAGTCAAGGCATGGACATCAGTAAGGCATGCAACCAGTGCTTGGCACTTGTTGCTGTGTTAAGTGTTAAAAAAACAAACTGATCGTGCTTAAGTTTTCTGTGTGCTCCAAAGACCCCGTCCACTCCATCCAAAGCACAGCACAACTGCAGGGCGGCAGGACTATCCCAGGTGAACAGAAAAGTGGAAACTGCGGCTCGGAGAGGTCGCTCGGCCAGCAAGGGGAGCAGCACGCAGCTTCCCCACCAGGTGCTGTCCAGCTCCGATTCCTGCTGCTGGCACCTGTCAGGCTGGAAATTCACACGGCTCCTGGGCCACCACTGACCGGTTCACATTCCACGCTGGCCGGGCATGGCCACTGACGCTAATGGGGCAATCCGAGCCCCAACAGATCCCAGCAGCACCCACGCCTTCCAGGCTCAAAGCCCTCTGTGCCTCGGCTGGCTCCTGCTCGCCCAGCTGAGGCTGGCAGGGCAGAGTCCTCGCACCCCGCCCACTGATGGGGATATCGGGCGTCTGGGAAGTTGCGTGCCCTTGTGCAGAACCTCCCGACAGATCAGGGCAGAGGCCTTGGCTCCCGAGTCCATGGCTGTGCCGGTGCACTGCCCTTCCTCCCCACACCCCTGCGCAAGGTCAGGAGAGGAGAGCCCTTCCAGGGCCACACAGTCCTGCGGTGGAATGTGGAGGGGCTCCCCACACGTCAGGACGTCTGCCGGCTGCCCCCACCCGCAGCCGAATCCTCTTTCCCAACCTTCCAGCTTGCAGCCCTGCTGGCTCCAGGCTCCACCTCGTGACTCTGCTTCTTTATACCCATTGGTCAGCCGGGGCTGTCCCAGGGACAGCAGTGGCATTTGGCACGTGTGCCCTTCCCTTTAGGAAACCCGCGTCATCAGCTCTCGGCCTCTAACCGGTTCTCCAAACTTGTGTCTCCCGGGCGGAAGACATTTTAATTACCCCAGCTGCCATTATCTGTTACAGCCAGCCCTGAGCCCTTCCCAGATAACCCCGCATTCATCAACCCCAGCTGAGCCCCTGGTACATGGCATGTGTAGGTAAAAGCCTGGAGGTGAGAAAAGAATTATAATAAATTAATAGATAAGCAATCACAATTAATGCCACTTCCTGGCAATAACAGTTATATCATGGGAAAGATATTTTCATCTGTCATTCCTTAAGGCGATGTTTTCCGAGCTTCGGCTTCCACCCATTCAGGCCCGTGGGGTGCTAATGAATTAGTCTATTATGTTATGCTGAATGTTTCTAAACGGTCCCTCGTCGATACTGAATTCAGTGTGTCAACATTTGGCAACCAGAACGCAACTTTTTGCCAAGCAGTAAGGTTGCCCACAGTTCACTGTGTACAGCACTTGGGGTCTTGGCCCAGAGTAGTTTGGACAAAAAAAAAATGGAGCTGGACAAAGAGGGTTCTTCATCAGCTGCCCCACCAGCCCCACCCCACCCCGCGTCGTCACTGCCATCATGTCATGGGGATGGGGCGCCCTGGGCCACAGCCCTGCAACACGGTGCAGCTGAGCCCAGGCTCAGGAGTGGCAGGGAGGAAGGTGACCCCCAGCACTGCCACCCCAGCATACTCCCCCCGCCCCCACCCAGGCTGTGACTGAGCTGCTGGGGGAGGCTCAGCAGGCCAAGAGCTGTAGCCCAAGGCCGGGAGGACTGGTCTTGCTGGCACCCCAGCCCCCACACGAGCCATGGGTGCTGCCTTCACACTAAGTCAGGTTGGGCTCCTGTCCTTGGGGAGGGACACCGGGTCATGGAGGCCCCAGGCAAGCTAATACTATGGCACCTTTCAAGTCTTAGACGCAGACAACAATGAATTGGTGACGAGGCAGAGCCCCATGCCAGGAAGGGTGAGGAGAGCGCCCCCTGGAGGCAGAGCTCAGCTTCTCCAGGGCTCCAGCAGTTCAGCTCCAACCCAGACTTGGCATACAAGACCCTGCAATACAAAATCCCTGCAGGTCCCCAGGCCCTGCTGAGTTGCTTGTTCCTGGTGCCGTCTCTTTGCGGGTCTCATGCACCCACCCCAAGCAGTTGTCTGAGTCATTCCCAGCCCCCAGCCCCATGGAAGGCTCCCCCTGGGAGGAGGAGGTGCCGTGCTGTGTTCCAGGTTTCTTCCAGCACCAGGTCGGTGCCCCAGCCTGGAGCTGCTGCTGGATGGGCCTTCTGTTCACTGCAGGTGACAGGAGTCACAGGCTCAGGGACTCAGTGGGGAGACAGACCCAGACCCAGAAGCCATTTCCAGTAGAACAAATGCCAGAGGCCCCAGGATGAGAACAGAAGTACCTTTGACTTGCCTTGTTGTGCATGGGTAGAGAATTAGTCGGGGAGGCTTCCTGGAGGAGGTGATATTTGACTGAATCTTAGAGTACAGCCTATCTAAGAGGCGTTGAGAATCAGGCATTGCGTCCAGGGGACAGAACGCACACAAGGTGACTGGACACAGGGGTGCGTGTGGCTTTCCTGGAAGAGAAAAAGAAAGAGAGAGAGAAGGCAATGGGGAGGGAAAGGGAGGCTAGAAGGGTAGAGAGCTTGCTAAACCTTGCTAAGGAACTGCCCTTTATCCTTAGAAGGCTTTAGGAGGCATTGGACTATTTTAAGCAGGGAAATGACAGGGTTGGGTTTGTACTTCAGCACTGCCCTTCTGATTGCCACGCGGGGGGAGCATGCAGTGTCCGGGGGCAGGAGGGGGCTGAGCAGGCAGAGCCTGCAGTGGGAGGGGCATGCATCATCCTGGGGGAGGCGGGGCCTAGAGCTGGGCTGGGCTGCACCACTGCCCAGCTGTGCAACCTTGAACCTTGAGCAAAAGGCCTAAACTGTCAGCCACTCAGTCCCTTGCTCTAAGGCCCCCTCGTGAAGTGCAAGGTTCCTACCCAGAAGTCACTGAGAACCACATGCAGAGGTTTACAGGTACCCGGTAAACATTAGCTCCCTGCAGCAAAGAAGGACCCCAGCCCGTCCGCTGCTTTCTCCAGCAGCCCTGCCGGGTCCCAGGGGGCGGCTCCAGTAGCTGTCACCATCCAGGCAGAAAGGAAGACTTGTCAAACACCCAAGGCTTCATCCTTGCCAGATGTGCCTGGGGGCTGTCTGCTGGCCCGTTTCTTTCTCGGGCCAAACTTCTGCGGGGGTCGGGGGCTGGGAGGCACCATCAGCGCTGCCGTGTGGCAGGGAGGCAGGAGAGCAGGTGCTGCTTGAACGTGGTGGGGATGTCTCCCCTCCCACTCCAGCTGCTGTCCTGGCCCAAGCCCAGACCCTCCTCGGTGTGTTTCCCAACCCCGAGAAAGAGCTTGGGTTGGCGTCTTCTCAAAGCCCAGCCCGACCAGGCCCCACCACAGTCTGAATCCGACCACCTAGATGTGGTGCACATGGACACACACACGCCGAACTCCAGGGGTTCGCCCGTGTCCTGCACTGGAGCACCTGGGTCTGACACCTGCTCTGGCTCCCTTCTGTAGCTGATACACACCCTGAGAGGCTGCAGGTGATGGCTCAAGTGGCCGAGGCCCTGCCACGGGTCTGGGTTGAGTTCCTGGCTCCCACCTGCTGTCCTGGCCCAGCCTAGGCTGCTGTGGACATTTGAGGAATGAATCAGTAGATGGGAAATCTCTCTCCCTTTGTCTGCCTGTCCCTCTCTCCCCCTTAAATAAATAGATTAAAATCTCCAAAGATAAATCCGATGCACTCCTTGCATTTGGCAATCCCAGGGCTGTAGAGCATGGGGAGGGGGAAGTGGGGGTTGAGCAGGACAGCAAGTCTCAGTAACTGTCTGACAGCCAGCTCTCCAAAAGGGGGCGCACACAACCCCTGCCCAGTTCCATGGTGTAGATCTTGCCGCCCAGGGCCACCACGAGGCTGCCCATGTAAAGTCGCTGAGTGTGGCGTGGGGAAGAAATGCCCACACACGGGTGCAAATTCAGCTCTGCTGTTTACAATTGTGTGACCTTAAGCAGGACACTGTTCTCATTTATAGAAGGAGAATACCGCTAAGTGCCTGCAGCACAGGGGGCTGTGAGGTTAAACCGCTTCCTCACGGGCAGGCTGAGCACAGGGCCCACCCTCCACACCCCTCTGCCCCATCTCAGCGAGAACCCTGCCTCTGCTGAAGCCCCTGCCTCCGGCTCTCAGCCAGCCCCTCCCCCCTTCCCAAGTCCTGGCTTCCAATCAGGACTCTATGACAAATTTGAGACTAGGCTCTTTGACCTGGGCTGAAGTTTGCACCGGCCCCTTGCAGTGCCTTCCAGAAGGCAGCGTTTGGGGAGTGCAAGTGGAGTGAGAAGAGCTCAGCACCGATCAGAAGCATCTCGGGGACCAGGGAACGGCAGCACACAGAGAAGGGCTCGCTTTTGTCACGTGTCCCCTTTTCCCAAGCCAACATGGAGTGAATCGAAGCAGGCACATTGTCACTCACAATGGTGGCAGCCTCAGAGAGACAAGTGCAGTCCAAGTGTGCGCCCCACACCTCTTCCAGCATGGGGTGGAACGACAGAGTAGGGGGATGGGCTGGGGGCCAGGGTGGAAGGCAGCCGAGCTAAGGCAGGGTATGGTACCGCGCAGACAAAAGACACTCAGTTTCCCCATCGGGCCCGCCTAGATTGTCAAAGTATATATTTCAAAGGTCAGAAACGTGAGTCTCATGCTAATAGGGCACGAGCCTGTATCAGGGATGTATTCAACCCCCGAGGGCCCGGGAGGTGGGGAGGGGGGCTGGGAACGCTGGCTCGCAGAACGTTTGCGCAGCCAAGTGTTTGTTCACGGGCGCTGGGGATGGGGCGTGGGCTAAGACAGGATGCGTTAATGTCCCGCAAGGCAGCAAGGCCCCAACCTTGGGGATGGCCATTTCTGCTGAACACAAATGGGCACCTTCACCCAGGGCCTGGGCCTTAAACCAGCGGCTGGCAGTAAGGGTCCATGCCCAAGCACACCGTCCTGGAGGAGCAGTAGCCCAAGTGGTGACGTCTCTCGTCCGGGAAGAACATCCTGCGCCCCTGCAGCCTCATGTCCAAGTCAGGGTTCGTTTTGAACAGGACAGAGCTCTGCGTTGATCCTATGACCACCGATGCCCTCTCTTCTAAGCACAGGGAAAACTGGCTCCTCCCTCCACCCCCACTCTCTATGCCTCCCAACCCTGCCCAACCCCCTCAGCCCCCAGGGCCTGCCCATTGCCCCAGGATGCCACCTAGCCCACAGACAGACAGACAGGCAAGCTAACCCCTGCTCAGCTGCTCCTCCAGGCAGGGGGCAAGGGGTTGCACGCTGTGGGGGGGTGAGGGCAGAGAAGAGGGAGTTGATGCCCCTTGAATCCTACACTGGGAAGCCTGGTTTTTCCACACCTCCCTCTGGGTGACTTGCAGCTGCCCCGTCCAGGGTCCTGTATCTCCCCAAAGTGGGTCTCCCCGGGAGAGGAAATGTGAGGGTGCTTTCAAAAGTTCATGGAAAATGGAATAGAAGATAAGTGTGTAGGGGCCAGCACTGTGGATCAGCAGGTAAAGTCACCGCCTGCAACACCGACATCCCATATGGGTGCTGGTTCAAGTCCCGGCTGCTCTGCTTCAGATCCAGCTCCCTGCTAATGAACCTGGGAAAACAACAGATGATTGCCCAGGTACTTGGACCCCTGCTACCCATGTGGGAAACCAAGATGGAGGCCAGGCTCCTGACTTCAGCCTGGCCCAGTCCTGGCCATTGTGGCCATTTGGGAATGCACCAGCAGATGGAAGATCTCTCTCTCTCTCTCTCTCTTTCTCTCTGTAACTGTGCCTTTCATATAAATAAAATCAGTCTTAATGGAAGGAAGACCTTTCCCTCTGTTTCTCCCTCTCACTGTCTGTAACTCTACCTCTCAAATAAATAAATAAAATCTTTAATTAAAAAAAAAGCATATTTCTGGAGGCCGGCGCTGTGGCGTAGTGGGTAAAGCCACTGCCTGCAGTGCCAGCATCCCATATGTGTGCTGGCTCAAGTCCTGGCTGCTCCACTTCCAATCCAGCTCTCTGCTATGGCCTGGGAAAGCAGCAGATGATGGCCCAAGTGCTTGGGACCCTGCACCTGTGTGGGAGACCCGGAAAAATCTCCTGGCTCCTGGCTTTGGATCGACCCAGCTCTGGCTATTGGGGCCATTTGGGGAGTGAACCAGCAGATAAAAGACCTCTCTCTCTGTCTCTGCCTCTCTGTAACTCTGCTTTTTAAATAAATAAATAAATAAAACTTTTAAAAAAATGTTTGTTTTAGTGCAAAAATGCTGAAGTCCACAAATATTAGATCTCTCCAAAAACTTTACGGAAAATGCATGTTATGAAAAAATTACCCATGGATTTCAAATTTCTTTGCACTCAAACAGCTTCTTCAAGTGTCCTTGCTGTGCTCTGTGGGAGCCTTGCTAAGCTTCATGGATGGGTGAGGCTGGTGTCTCGGGTGCACTCTCCCTTGGGTGCCGTCGGGGGGGTGTGGTCCCAACTTTGTAGAGGAAGAAGCAGACTGAGGTACCACATGGGGTCTGAGTTCTCGGTTGACCTCTACTCCAGGGTCTCTTTGAGGGTCCCATCACCTCCCCGGGGGGGCTCCACAGACAGGTGCAGCCTCGGGTACCAGGGACCTCCCTCCCCACCTCACCCCCGAGCAGAGAGAGTGCTGCGGCCCCATGGTGCTTCACGCGCTCTCCTGTCTCCCCAGGACCTGTACGCCCTGGACCTGGAGCCCTACCGCTATTCGGGGGTGAACCTGACTGGCTTCCGCATCCTCAACGTGGACAACCCGCACGTCTCGGCCATCGTGGAGAAGTGGTCCATGGAGCGGCTGCAGGCGGCGCCCAGGGTGGAGTCGGGCCTGTTGGACGGGGTGATGATGGTAGGCGTGGTGGCCGCTGGATCCCCCTCCTTCCTCCCTCCCTCTTATTCCGCCCTCTTTCTCTTCCCTTCCACCACTTTGCTTAAGACTTGTCGTGTCTCAGGCAGACCTCAGATCAGGGACTGGGGACACTAAAGCTAGGTCAGACCCCATGGAGGGAATGCAGGCATGCTAACAAATGGTTACAGAGACAGAGGGACAAAGACCAGGTGTCCTGGGCACAGAGGACTTCTGGCCAGCTGTGATGGGCAGGTGCAAAGGTGCAAAGAAGCAGGTGTGGGGAGGGCGGTGAGCAAAGGGTGTGGCCGGAAGAGGGTGGGCTGCAGAGGGAGCCACACCAAGAATGCCTTTGGTGGGGTGGGCCGTGGCCTCAGGGTGGGGGCTGGGGTCTGCTCTCAGAGATGTCCGGGCCCTCCCTGCAGACGGACGCGGCCCTGCTGTATGACGCTGTCCACATCGTGTCCGTGTGCTACCAGCGGGCGCCTCAGATGACCGTGAACTCCCTGCAGTGCCACCGGCACAAGGCCTGGCGCTTTGGCGGCCGCTTTATGAACTTCATCAAGGAGGTGAGAATGAGAACCCCGCGACCACCCCTCCCCCAGCCCAGGGCCGTGCTCCTGGGTTGCTGGTGCCTCCGGAGCCAATGAACGGTCTCCAGTCTAGGTCTGAGTGTCCGACGGATCTGACTTCCAGTCTACGGACTCTGGCCTGCCCCCTCGAGTCTGCAAGCCTCAGTCTCCTCTGTGAAGATGGGCCCAATGGGATGAGTGTGACGGGTGACTGTGGGATCGCTTCTCGGCCTCTTGGCTAAGATCCAGTGATGGGTGACTGTGGGGCGTGAGTCCTTGGCACGTAGTAGGTGTTCAGGAGGCGGTCACCGTCAGCGTGGCCCTCAGGACACAGCAGGGCTCTACATCCCCTCAGTCGGGGGACCCACTTCCCAGCTGAGTGCTCTAGGGCAAGCAGGAGACCCTCGCTAGGCCTCAGTCTCTTCATCTGTAGAATGGGGTGTGAAGCTTGCCTACCGCCCACGAGTGCACAGAGAGTGCTTCCTGCATCAATGCGGCTTAGCAAGTGCCCATCAGCCCACGGACGTTTCTTCATGTCTGGGCCCCTGACCATCTTCCCAGCTGGGGTTCCCTCGGGACCCATGGGTGGGCTGATTTTGGAGAAACCAGAGAGCGTGAGTGACACCTGCCCTGGTGCTGAGAGGACCCTGGAAATATCCAGCGGCGACTGCTCATTGCAAAGGCTTCTCCACCTGCTGTGTCCTTACTAACTGCAGGTGGTGTCGTTCCCATTTTATAGATGGGGAAAGCCAAGGCCTAGCTTGCATCCTGGCTCCATCATAAGTATTGGTGTGACTTGGGGTGAGGGGTCACCTGGTGGGTCCTTGGTTTGCAGTAGTAAGGGAGGGGGGTGCTTGCCTCAAATGTTGTCGGGAAAACAGTGGAAAACTGCAAAGCCCCCGACCCAGCGTGGAGGGAGAGTCAGATCCCAGGAAGACTCAGGAGCCAGGGTTGCCCTGGGCCGGAGGGACCGTGTCCAGGGCCCCACCGAGAGTGGTAAGGAGAGCTCGGGTGCATCATCTCTGCAGCAGGCAAAGTGGACCAGGGACCAAGGCGGCTGCCGTGGGCTTCATTTCATTTGTCCAACAGCTGTTTGTTGTGGGCTGCTGGATGCCAGGCACTGACCCCTGCCTGGGCAGCCCCTGGGGCCAAAACAGAGGCGGTGTCCCCTACCACTCCCCAACACACACACATTCACAGCCTAGGGAGGGGGCAGGTGCTCATCAGGTCATCCTGGTAAGATGCTGAGCCCACATGCAGAGGAGGCAGCTCTGTGGGAGCAAACGACAGAGCCACTTCAGGGCGGGGCAGTGGCCCCTGGGGTCCCAAGTTCACGGTGACTGCTTCAGAGAGAGGTCAACGACAGCTCCTTGCATGGGAGGACTACAGATAGAGCAGAGGCCCGAGGGGTCACCTGGTGCCCTTAGAGCACGGCTCTGCCCCTCCCCTGCCGCCCAGCTCTGCACAGTAACCGCGGGGACGTCCCTCGCCTGGCACTCCCCCTCCTGTCCTCATGGTCGTTCAGTCCTTGGCCTTTCCAAAAAGGGACTCCAGTCAGTCCCTCTGGACAGCCCCTCCCCGTCCAGTTGGCAGAACTGGCCGGTGCTGTCAGGGCTGCCTGGGGACCATCATCTGCCTCTCAGGGAACTTGGGGGCCTGACCCTGACTCCAGCTCCCTGCGCCTCCCTGCTCAGTACTCGAGGGGCTCGGTGACCCAAGCCACTTCCCTGCCCTCGCCCTCCTCTGGTTTAGCTGGGAGGTTTGGGAGCCAGACAGAAATGGCTTGGAAGCACCCCCACTTGAGAACTGATGACCTTGGGCAAGTCCCTGTGCCCAGATCTCCTGCTCTACTCAATGGCGACAGCAGCAACACCCATAGGGCTGCTGGGAGGACGCCGTGAGGAGTGGGACCTGGGAAGCACCAAAGACAGCACCAGGCGCACGGCGAGGGCACGGCTGCCGCTTTCTCTGGCACCTGGGGCATCGTGACAGCCTCCTGGTCAGAGCCGAGGGTCTGTGGGGACTGCCGCCCCACCCCGCCCTCCCCTCTTGGCATGCTTGAGCCTCAGCCCTGGATCCCTGAGAGGAGCCCCTTCCTCCCCCTCCCAGGGCTGAGCAGTCCAGGTTGGGGCCCTGCTCCCAGGCCCAGTGAGTGACCCTCAGCACTCACCCCTCTTCACAGAGCCCTTTCCAGAACATTCCTCCTGTGTGCCTTTTAGGGCTGTGGCACCCGCAGCCCAGCTTGGCCATGTGGCTTACCCAGGGTCCCCCAGCCAGTGCCCTGCCCGAGCCCCCCACACACTCCTCGCTCAGTCCCTTTCCAAGTTGCCTGGCTCCCCATCTGACTGCATGACAGTAAATCATTTTAAAGACTTGGCATTTCCGAGAGGAGCTGGAAAATACCAGGCCGGAGTTCAGTGCGTGTGAAGCATCTTTCATTTAGCGAGTCTTGAGCCGCGGCTGGAGGGGCGGCTGGGCAGGGAAATGTCACGGGGAGGAGCTGCCAGCGGCTCCCTGCCCTGGCCCTGCCCACCCACCCCCAGACAGGTGCACCTGCTGGCATTTAATCTCTCTCTACTGACAGGGAGGAAGACTTCCCTCCAGAGCAGGTTTGAAGGCACCTGCTGTGATTTCCCCTGGGGGCCAGGAGACAGCCAGAGGGTATGGGAGCCTCAGAGGAGGACGGGGAGGCCGAGGGACTAGGGAGCCAGCTGAGGGAAGCTGAGCCGCCCCTTGAAGTCACAAGCAGTGGTGTGCACCTTCTCGGATGCATTCTTTAATCTCTGTCTCGGCCCCTCGGTCCCCAGCAGCCAGGGCTCCGTATAAGCCCTCCACACTCCACCTTGGGTTGCCGTGACCCCGGGGCCCTTCAGCTCTGCTACTGCGATGAGGGAAGGTGTCCTGCCCTGCCAGTATGCGGAACCTGCTTGTCTCAGTTCCTGTTTGAGCCTCCGTGTCCACATCTGTAAAAGGGGGCAGTGATGATGTGCACCCGGCAGGACTGTGATGCACAAACTCAGTGAGCTCCTACAGGGAAGGGGGAGCGCTCTCTGCATGGGCTTTCTGTGGGGCCTGCCCGGCCACGCGCCAGCCCTCATCCGGCAGAGGCCCAAGGCTGGAAGCAGCGAAGGAAGTGAGCACGAACCTACTGCACTTGACCATGACTCGATGCCGACATCCTGTGCTGCACCTGCACAGGTGCCTCACTGCCCGTGGAGCCGAGGGGTTAGAGCATGTGTGCAAAGCCCACACCCTAACCTCTTCTGTCTGACAGCTTCCCAGAGCCCTCCAAGCAGCTGCCCCTCCACCTGAGTTAGCATTCCCACCGTCCACTAACCCTGGAGCTGCCCGAGTGCTTGGAGATTCCCCAGGGTTTTTAGTTTGGAGCAGTAGATAAACCTCCAGGGATTTATGAGCCCATGAACTTGTGGTTGAACTGTGAGTGTCCACCTGGGCACTGGGGGGCCTTCAGGAGGAGAGGGACGGGGGAGCCATGCTCAGAATCTGCAGGGGAGCCCAGCCCCCGTGTGGTTAGGAGTCTCGTGTGGCAAAGCCAGGACAAAGGCAGCTGGCTGTCCGTCCTCAGACCTCCTGCTGCCGCGCACCTCTTCTCTGGACACACAGTGTCCCTCTGGCCCAGTCTGCCTGTGCGAGCTCCCAGGTTGTCCACAAGCCCACCCTTGGGCCGCAGGATGAGCAGACATGTGGGGTTTGTTCTTCTCTCACACACAAAAAGTTTGGGTGTTTAACTGTGTATGGGGCCACCGTCCTAGTCTATGGAGGAGGGAAATGGGGTGGGGCCCTGGGACCCCGAGTTCTAGTTCATGCGCTCTGTGAGCTGGGGTGATTCACGTTGCCCCAGGCCAAGCTCCTCACCTGTAAAATGGGAATGGTGGCGCTCGCCAGGCCCGCCTCCCAGGGCTGCTCTGCGAGTTGCAGGTCGTGAACAGGGTGAGTGTGCCTTGCAGAGCTCCTGCTCAGGCCCCGGGAAAGAGCCCACGGGGAACGGAGGCAGCAGAGCTCCCTCCGTGCAGGTGCAGGCAGGAAAGAGTGGGAGGCTTTGTGGGCGCCACTGGGCCGCTCCCCAGCTGCAACACACATGCAGCCAACGTCATACATGTAGAGCCACGGGCATGACTGGGCGCTAACAGGCCACGTGCAGTAACAGGTAGCGGCCGGCAGGGACCCCAGCCGACCCCTGACCCGCAAGATGGGGCTTGTCCCAAACCTCTGCTTGCCACTCTGTGTTGGTGACAACTGACAAGGAGCGGCAGCAACTGTGTGTTCAGGGCTCCTTTGTACAGGCACAGTTCTCGATGTTCTGCAGGGTCAGGTGGGTCCTGTAAATCATTCCATCGCATAGCTGTGGAAACTGAGGCAGAGCGGTGCAGCAGCATACCTGCGGTACATGGCTGATGGTGGTTGAACCCAGCATTTGGACCCCAGAGTTTTTAACCATAGCATGCATGGAACTGGGGCTGGCGTGGGGTTGTATGTGTGTGTTGGGGGTTCCTCTTGAGCTCCCCTGCCTCTCTGGGGGCGACTCGGAGTATCTGGATCTGCATCCACGGTGGCTGGGCCCTATGGCGTTTCTGCCTCCGGGTGGGTCCCAACTGCCTCTCCAGGAATCTCACGGGAGCTCCCCACTCCCGTGGCTTCGAGGCGGGGGCTCGTTTGAGCGCATCCAAGATCGATGTTGTACACGAGGAGGTGCAAATGTAAAGCTGGCTAAAGAGCATAATAGAATTTATGGAAATCGCTGGCTCGCACCGCAGCCCGAGCAATGATGGAGGTGATTATTAATTAATCATGGTCTTGGGGGAACAGTATCAGTGCAAGGAGTAATTAAAATGAAGCATTGTACAGTTGTACCGAATGATGATTTATGAGCCCGAGGAATTACCACTCTGCCCTCTCCCCTCGGCAGGCTCAGTGGGAAGGATTAACTGGACGGATTGTTTTCAACAAAACCAGTGGCTTGCGCACAGATTTTGATCTGGACATCATCAGCCTGAAGGAAGACGGCCTGGAGAAGGTGGGTGAACTCGTGAGAGGGAGGTCAGGCCGGGAGAAGGGGCGGGACCTGGTGTGGCTGCCTCCCGGCGCTCAACACGACACAGCTCTGTGGGGCAAGCTGAGCCCCTGAGGCCTGGGCAGGCTGAAAGGTGCGGGGGCCCAGGGGCCTGGCTACAGCAGACACCCAGACCATGGCTCTGTGTACAAGACCCGTCAGGGAGTGTTACCTTGGAAAAACTTTTTTAAAGAGATGGTAACTTCTTTTTTTTAAAGAGGTATTTATTTATTTGAAAGGCAGAGTTACAGAGAGACAGAGACAGAGAGAGAGAGAGAGAGGTCTTCCATCCCGCTGGTTCACTCCCTAGATGGCCGCAACAGCTGTAGCTGTGCTGATCCGAAGCCAGGAGCCAGAAGCTTCTTCCAGGTCTCCCATGCGGGTGCAGGGGCCCAAAGACTTGGGCCATCTTCTGCTGCTTTCCCAGGCCATAGCAGAGAGCTGGATCAGAAATGCAGCAGTCGGGACTCGAACCTGCGCCCATGTGGGATGCCGACACTGCAGCGGCTTTACTCGCTTTACCACAGTATCAGCCCCACACTGGGAAATTGAATCAGAGGCTCAGGGGGCACACAGACTGTCCCCAAGTTCCTGCAGAGCTGACATGGGGCAGAGGGGCAGATGTGTCCTTGGGTAAATAAACTCCCTAACCCCCGGTGGGTGGGTGGGTGCCTGCCTGAGCTGGAGTGTGTTCACCATCACGGGAGGCATGTAAGCAAAGCTAGAGCAGTTGCTTGTCTGGCAGACTGGAGACGCCACTTACTCTTGGAAACACGGTGAAGCACAGGGACTCCGAGCTGCCCCACTGCAGGCTCGCAAGACTTCTCTGATTCCAGAGAGTCTGGGGGAGAGCAGACTGGCCTGGGGCTGGGGCCCCGCATCTCGCTAACTGGGGAGCAGGTGTTCAGTGAGGCCAGTTCTAGGCCCCGGGAACCCGAAGCATGTTCTGTCAGCATCAGGCTGTAGGGCCCAGGAAAGGGGTTTAACCCAAGCCTCGCCACCTCCCAGCTCTGCCACACCCTGTCCCACAGGATGCCGGGCTCTGGGAGCCACTGGGGCCGCTCTGCAGCCCTGCAAGGGAGGGCTATGAAATGCAGGGAGCCGAGGGGCCGTTCGGGGTCTGCGTGCCCGGATTCGAGTCTCTTATGTGGGTTATTTTAATGTCCGCCTCCACGCTGCACCCCTGCAGCCATCCTGAGTGCACACACAGAGGAAGCTTCCCCAAGTGCAGCTCAGCCAGCTCTGACACTGCCCATGGCTCTCCAGCGCCAAGTGCTTAAGCTTCAGCCCCTCTCCTGGTCTGTTAAGGTTCTCTGAGAAACACCCCAGCTGGCCTCCTCAGGCCGACTGTCTACTGCTCCCTGAAAGAGACTCCATGGTTCAGTCACAACCCTCCCACACACACACACACTCCTGTGCTTCTGAGCCTATGCCCATGCTGTTGCCCTGGGTGTAAGGTGTGCCCTCTGCCCCCTGGCATCACCTGCCCCACTGGCCCCATTGCACCTGTGACCATGGCTCCTCCATTCACTCCTGAGCTCCCCTACCCCCCACCTGCTCATGGGGGCACAGTGCAGGGGAGGCGTGGCCAGGGAAACCTCACCACAACTCCTGCACTACGTCCTGCCACACATACCGCCCAGTCCTCGAGGACAAGGGCCATGGCCTCATCGAGGTCAGTTGGTCCAATCCTGTCTTCACTGTGTGAGTTCTCATCAAGCCACCTTCCTGATTTCTGCTTGACTCCTGCAGCAATGGAGAGCAGCCTACACTGGCGCCCCCAGCAGCGAGTACCATATTCACCCAAGTAGCTGTTCATTTCGACTCTGTCAGCTATCCATCTCTGGGGATAGCCTGACATTCTAGGGAGGCCCATTAGATGGCATACACGCCACCACTCCCTGTCCCACACTCATGGCAGGCATCAGTAATCAGTCACTGGCACACTCCGCCTCTGAGCTCCCCTGCAGCACCCTTCTCCCCCCGCTCCAGGCAGCTGGCACAAATTGGCCATAGCCTATGCACTCTATCATCCCAGGACGAACGTTGCACCCACCAAAGGCTGCTGGTCGCAGCCACCTGGGTTGCGAGCGGAGAGCTTCCTGAGGCTGGGTCCTCCTGGGTCCCAACATTCTCAAACCCTGTAGCAGCCGGTGTCCGGCGGGGCTTGCAGTCAGAGCCTGGCAGGTGCTCGCTGAGATGAGAGCCACTGCCGTGGATGCGACCTCTGGGCAGGTGTCTGTTGAGTGCCTCCTGCTCCCAGGCTCTTGGGCTCAGCTCGCTGAAGAGCCTCCTCCAGGCTGTCTGCCTTGTGGCCCTGGGCGGTTCTTGTAGGCAGGGATCCTGCCCCGAGAGGGTGCCAGGCCCTCCAGCACAGCCGCTGTGCCTCTCAAATCATCCCTTCTGTTTGCTAAGCCGAGTCAGAGCCGATCCCAGCCAGCTCCAGCCGGTGGCTTTGGGGGGATTAAGGCAGAATTACCCAAGCGTAATTACATATCTCTCTGCTATCTGCTTTGCACAGCTCTCTTAATGGGATGTTTGCACTCGGCCTCTCTGTTTAATTGATTAAGTTTCCTGAGTACCCTCCCCCGCCCCCAAACCGGGCCAAGGACAGAGTGGGCATGCCGAGGCCTTCCTTGAGAGAGGCGGGCTGGGATGGGGCAGAGCTGAGCAGAGTTGGGTTAGAACAAAGCTTCCAGAGGCCCAGAGCTTTAGGACAATTTATAAACTTGACCTTTCCATCCCTCCCTCCAGCCTCAGACCTGATATCAGTAGGGCTGCAACGAGGAGAGAGATTGTGCCACCTCGGCCAGGAAGTTTGCCAACTTTGGGAGTAAAACCACAGAGCAAACTGACCTCACACCCAGAAGCATCCCCAGCCCCCAGCAGCCTTGTGCCACCGCCCCACATCCCAATGGCTAGCAGAGAGCAGCCCCATGCCCAGCCGGCCTGCGGATAACACGGGTGCTTAGGGGACGTCTCCCTGGCCCCAGGCCCTGTGCTGGGCTTTGAAAGGTGCCTGTCCCCAGAAGCTGGCACTAGGGCTGAGACACACTGAGTGAGCAATGGGGTGCAGGGTCTTCCCCTGAAGGTGTCCGGAGCAGGACCTGACCCTGACCCTGACCCTGACCCTGACCCAGGACCTCTGAGGCTCTGCTAACCTCTGCTTGGCAGCAGCTCAGCCCTGCTGGTTTCCCCGAGCTCCTGGGGCTGCACTTGCTGCCTCCCATGACCTTACCCTTTTGGCTGTGAAGGGTTTGCCAGTAAGGGCAGGTGGCGGAACTCAGGAGACTCAGCCCCTCGGGGTCCTCCTCTGTGGAGGAGGGGGCAGCAGGGCTGTCGGAAAGGTTAACTCCAAACACAGTAGCAGTGGCAATGGTGATGATGATGACCGTGTTAATGGGGAGAATGGACGGGCGGAGTGAAGACTCAACACCCTGTTTCTGTCTGTCCAGGTTGGGGTGTGGAGTCCTGCCGACGGGCTCAACATCACCGAAGTCGCCAAGGGCCGAGGCCCTAATGTCACCGACTCTCTGACGAACCGGTCCCTGATCGTCACCACGGTGCTGGTAAGAGCCTGCCGCCCCTGCAGGAAGGACTGCCCCACCCGGGGCGGGCTGGCCATTTGTCTGGAAAGGCCCTGCCCACGGGAAGCGCTTAGGAGGCTACAAGGAGGCTGGCGGGCGGGGACGATGGGGCACAGGAAGGCACACACTTTGAGGATCACTCGGAAAACTCTCAGCACAGTTGGACCCCAGCAGTGGTGCTCCGGGACAGGTGCGCCTCTCCTCACCCCTCCCCCCACCTCCCCAAACCCCTTGATGTCTCAGTAGGAAGCGTGATGGAGGTGAAGGAACAGTCACGAGGCCTCAGGGATGCTGCCCCCTCCCCAGGTCCTTCCCACAGGTCCTTCCAGCTGTGGTAGGTGCTGTGGAAACAGCTGGAGAGCCCATGGGTGCTGGGAGCCTGCGTGCGAGCCAGTTTGCAGCGTCCAGTCTTTTTTTTTAAAAGATTTTTTTGTTTATTTGAAAGGCAGAGTGATACAGAGAGAGGGAAACACACACACACACACAAACACACACACACACACACACACACACAGAGAGAGAGAGAGAGAGAGAGAATCTTCCTTCTATTCGTTCACTCCCAAAATGGCTGCAGTGGCTGGAGTGGAGCCATCTGAAGCCAGGAGCTTCTTCTGGGTCTCCCATGTGGGTGCAGGGTCCCAAGCACTTGGGCCATCCTCTGCTGCTTTCCCAGGTTCATTAGCAGGGGGCTGGATCAGAAGTGAGCAGCCGGTTTTTGCAGGTGACAGCTTTACCCGCTAAGGCACAGCACCAGCCCCAGCCCACAGTCTTAAAAGCTGTCAGGCACGGCCACCCCGTCTGAACAGAGCCACCTCCCATCCTCGCTCCTCTTCCTGGGACTGGACCACTTCCCAAGAAGTAGCTCTTGGGGTCTCCTCAGCTCTCTTCCCCTTGTACCATAGAGCTGAGCAGGAGGGCAGCTCCAGGCCTCTGGCCTCCTTTTACTAATCAGTGCTGTGCCCACTCCACGTGTGCCAGTGCCCTCTGGAAAGCCTCGGGCTGTGTACAGGCTCAGGCCACACCCTAGAGACACAACCCTGCCCCTGGGGACCCAAGCTGGGTGGTCCACCTGGGAGGTTCTGACTGAAGACCCTCTGGGGACGGTCCTGGTCCTGGTCAGCTGGCAAGTCTGTGAGGACCACATGTTGAGAAGGGAGCTCAGCGGATTTGGGGTTAGGTAGGGCTGTCCGCAGCTGCAGGTGGGCACAAGCTGAGCACACTGAATGGGGGCGCTGTCCATGGTACTTGGGCAGAGGTCTCTGCCACCTGCTTGCCCACCCAAGGCAGCAAAGTCAGGCCCTACTAGAGGGTCCTGTGTCATCCCCTCTAGTGCGATTCACCAGGTAGGTGCTTGGTGACTGGGTCAGGGGACGCCATACAATTAGAAGGGATATAAAAGGGAAAAAAAATTCATCCCAGAAGCCCAGAGGGCGGCAGCTACAGGGGTGTCTGTGGGCTGTGTCACCAGTCCCAGGGGTGCCGTTCCTGTGAGGACTCCTGTTAAAGGCAACAGAGTTCTGAGCGTGGTTCCAAAGCAGCTGCTGATGGGAGCCAGAGGTAAGCTTAGGAGACACCCGCACCTCACTCATGGGGCAGGACCCCTGCCAGTGTCTTCTCAACAACCGCACGCCCTGCTGGCCTTTGTGGATCAACTTTCTGTTGAATAAACAATTATAAAATCATACTGCTGAAGCCAAGATGCCAAATTATTTCAACAGGAGCAGGCAAGCAAAGGGGAGTGGCCTAGAGGTTGAGATACCTGCATCCCATAGCCGAGTACCTGGGTTCCATCCCCAGCTGCAGCTCCTGACTCCAGCTTCCTACCAGTACAGACCCTGGGAGGCAGTGGCGATGTCTCAGGAACTGGGTTCCTGCCGCCCTTATGGAAGTCCGAGATTGAGCTTCTTGCTCTTGGCTTTGGCCTGACCCAGCCCCAGCCATTGCCGGCATTTGGGAAGTGAACCAGAGTGTGAGAGCACACACACACTCTCTCTCTCTCTCTCTCTCTCTCTCTCTGCATCTCAAATTAAAGAACAATATTTTAAGAGCAAAGGGATTAGAGTGATGCTGATGAGCAATTAAAGGAATATTGATGTGAATAAAAATAGGCAAGATAAAAGGAGACTTAAAAGACAACAAAATAAAAGGTTAAAAGGGGAACAACGAAGGGGAAATGAAGGTACAGAATGACATTAAAAGGGAAAAATTAAGAAAGATGAAAAATTAAATAATTTACAGCTTGGACCAGACAAGGTTAAAAAAAAAATGTTAAACCAAAATGTCAAAAAGCAAAAGGATGAAAGTGTGACAGAGCTAAAATATAAAAGGGTAAAAATAAAATAATAAAAAGGTGGTAAAAGATTAAAAGCAGAGCTGCATAAAATGTGAGGCATAAATAAAACACTTCTCAAGGCAAAATTGGGAAGAGGTAAAACTCGTAGGATTTCAGAGGTTAGGAGGAGAGGCGATGGAGCGGGCCGAGGTGATTCTGCCACAAACCACACTCTAAGCCAGCTGAAGACAATACGCCCAAAGGGTGCGAAGCACAAGCACCTGGGAAGATCAGCAGGTTAAGTTGTATTTCAATGGCAGCAGCTTGACTTCAAGGGCCTACAACCCTTCTGCAGAGACACGCGGGGTTCTGCACAGGCACCGGCAGAATCCAGCCATATCCTGCGCTCTTCACCTGTGCATTCCTCCAGCTTTCTCACGGATACTCCCAGCGTCCTGCCCCACTCAGTCCCTCTCCGGTGGGTCCACCCCCAACATCCGAGGGGTTCCCAGGTGCCACAGCGGGTAGGGAAGAAGAGAGGCTCCCATCCATCCACCGCCTCTCAGCGGCAAGGCATCTGGGCAGACATGAGCCCAGCAGTTCTGTGGGACATGCAGAGTGGCAGGACACAGGGGTACAACATGTGACGGCAGAGAGCAGAGATTTGGGGGTCAAGTCCTGGCTTTCCTGTGGCCCCGAGAAGTCACTTCCCTGCCATGTGCCTGCTTCCCCAGGTGAGGAAGCAAGCAAGCTCAGCGTGGCACCTACGTGGTAGAGGTGAGAAGATGGGTGGGTAGCAAGCATGAATGGCACCGAGGGAGTGAGGGAGTGCTGAGTGACGGCCCTTGGTGTTGGTCAATACTCTCTCTCTCTTTTTTTAAAGATTTATTTTATTTATTTGAAAGAGTTACAAAGAGAGGTAGAGACAGAGAGAGAGGTCTTCCATCCACTGGTTCACTCTCCAGATGGCCGCAACAGCTGGAGCTGCGCCAATCCAAAGCCAGGAGCTTCCTCCTAGTCTCCCACACAGGTGCAGGGGCCCAAGGACTTGGGCCATCTTCTACTGCTTTCCCAGGCCATTGCAGAGAGCTGGATTGGAAGAGGAGCAGCTGGGACTAGAACTGGAGCCCATATGGGATGCCAGCGCTTCAGGCCAGGGTTTTAACCTACTGCGCCAGAGCGCCAGCCCTAGTCATTACTCTCGATGCCAGATCCAGCCCCAGCAAGCGCAGGTTCAGTATAACGTGCAGAGTGAGGGTTCTGGAGAAAACCTGTGCTTCCGTTCTCGGGCACAGCTCTGAACTTCGCACTGGCCCTCACTGCAGGCGCGGTGGTGACCTCTGGCACGGGCTGCCTTACACACAGACAGAGTGTGCACTTGAGTACCTTGCAGGCCCCGGGGCTTCCTCCAGCTCCCTCGGACCCCACACTGCCCACTGTTTACATCGCTCATAGTTTTGCTTCCCACCCAGCCCCTGAAGGCGTTAGTGCTCACAACCCTGTGAGCCTGTTTCTAGTCTCTTATTTTTGTTTTTTTTTTAACAATTTTTAAAGATTTATTTGTCTATTTGAAAGACAGAATTACAGGGGGGTGGGGTCAAGAGAGAGAGAGAGAGAGAAACTCTTACATCTGCTCATTCCCTAAATGGCCACAACAGCCAGATCTGGTCCAAACCAGGAGCCAGGAGCTTCTTCAGGGTTTCCCACGTGGGTGCAGGGGCCCAAGGACTTGGACTGTCCTCCACAGCTTTCCTAGGTGCATTAGCAGAGAGCTGGATTGGAAGTGGAGCAGCCAGGACTCAAACCGGTGTCTGTATGGGATACAGGCACTGCAGGTGGCAGCTTTACCCACTATGCCACAGCACTGGCCCCAGTGTTTCTTGTCTCTTACTGAGACAGATAACTCCAGACACACCATACTTTGTCCGCTGCCCTGACCACAGTCTGAGCTCCTGGCCCTGACGTCATAACTTCCCACTCCTGACCTCAGTGCCTTTGCCTCTGCCATGGCCGCTGTCCCCCTGGAGGCAGGTATCCCGCTGACCACCATAGCCCCATCCTGCAGTCTCACACCCTCAGCTGGTCTGGAGTGACCCTGATTCAGCTCCTTTTATCCCCACTGCCCAGAGGTCATGGGGTGGAAGGAGTGGCCAGTGGACTCTGCTCCCGCTGTGGGGTGGTAAAAGAGGGCTCATCTGCCCTGGAGGCAGGGGAGTGGAGGGCATGACCTCTGGCGCATCCCTGGTGAGGGCGGGGAATGTGATACGTGGCCTTTACAAGGGGCTCCAAGAAATCCCCTGTGTCCAGCTGAAAATGTTTCCTGGGCGAGAGATGCACACTCCTGCCCGAGGACTGGTGCAGGACCACCCAGAAAGCTAGAGCTGTGCTGCAGATACTGCAGGGAGTGTGGCTGCCGTGCCCAGCAAGGTCCACGTGTCCCACAGCCCTGGGGAGGCTGTCAGGCATGGGCTCTTGGGGACAGCTTGCAGATCGCGGGGCGTGGCTCAGCCTGGCCCAGGCCCAGCTGCTCTGGCTAAAAACCCTGCCCCATGCCTGGCAGCTGAAGGCAGGGCCAGCACCTCCTGCTGAGAGCATAGGCCCTTGCCTGTCTGGGAGTGTGTTGTCAAGGCAACAGCGCTTTGAGTGACAGGCGGGTACCAAGGCACCAGTAGAGGAACATCAGACTGCCCTGCCCTTGGAGAATGGGGCCTAGGACTGAGTCCCCCGCCCCCCACCCCCATGAGAAGGGTTTCTCCTCCTCACATCGTCTGGATGTGGTAGAAAGCAGCGGCTATGTGGGGCTGCCCCAAACCCACCTCCTGTTCCCTCTCATCCTCAACCTGGGTTGGACACTAACGGTTCCTTGCCCTGGCTGGACAGATGGACGGAGACCTGACACCGCCCACTCTGGCCCCCCAGATCTGCAGCCTCTCTGCCTTCCCATTCCTGAGTCGGCAACAGCAGCAGCCGGAACCTAGGAGGCTGCCCTCCCCCACCCTCTCCCTGCCGGGCCCCAGCCTCTGTTCTGGTTCCGCTCTTCCATGAGCTCATGAAAAATTCATCTGCCCAAACCTCAGCTCACACACCAGGAAAACACGCCTGGCTCACTCCTGGGGGCCCTGCTTTTGAAGGTTCAGGGTTCTCTTGGCTGCTGCTGTGAGCGGCGGCGTTGGCATGTGTGGGTGTGGGACGCGCTACGCACCGGCGTCTGGATATGCACCAATGGGTGTATGCATGCCATGTGCACATCGTGACCCACATAGACTCGATCAACAGGCAGGCCAGACTCTCAGCTAGAGAGGAGAGGGAACCAAAGCCTGGATGTGGCTGGAAGAACCAGCCCAGGCCAGGACTGTTCCAGGCCCCTCCTGCGGGGAGAGGGGGCAGGATTCCCAATGCTCTTATCTTGGTCCTCACTGGTAGAAGCCAAGGTCAGGCATCCAAAGTCCCTGGCCTTTGTGTCCAAGCACGGCCAGGCAGACAGAACATCCGAGAAGGTGGTGTGTTTGTGCCAATGATGCTGTGCACACATGTCCACACGTGTGTGCCTAAGCTAGAAGGGGAGGCTTGGATCCATCCCCACTTGGGGGTGACCCCCATCCCCCTCTCCCGAATCCACGGGTCGGGCCACCAGGACGAGCTTGGCACCAGGCCTAGCTTTCGTATCGCCGGTCCGAGTGATCAGAGCAAAGCCAGACCAAGAGTCTGGACGGCAGCAAGTGGGAAGAGGTTATTTTTCTAGACCCCTGTTTTCTGTGACTTGTTGAAGAGAAATATTACCCCTGCTCCTTCGGCTCCTCTCCCAGAGCAATAGGAGAGCGTGAAGTTATGAAATTGAGGGCACCTTCACTGAGCAATCGATTAGCAGCCGAGAGAGCTTGTGAATTGGCTGTCTGGACATTTCCAGTAATAAATTGTGAAATAGTCCATGAATAAGTAGTTGGCGGAGTTCAGAATTACCCCCTAGGAAATGTTGCAGGTCTGGAGACGCATTACTGAGGCGAGCACCGTTTTAATGCTCTGGGCTTTGGCTGTTAAATATGTATGCCATCCGCAAAGCACTTCCCGAAATTAATGGCATTTTACAGCTGCTCCGAAGGCAGCGTATTTATATGGAGATGTATAGATTCTGGGGCCATGGTGGCTTCACAAATGAAGTGCTAATTTTAGAGGAGAAGGCCAGGGAGGGGCGTGCAGAGAGGTCAGGAAGTGAGCCATCCAGGTCCCCTTTCCAAAAGGGTTTCCTGCTGCCAGCCGTGGGCTTGAGCCTTTGGGGACATTGGATGGAGTCTTCAGGCTGCGGAGGTCAGTGGGCTTCCTAGCCCAGCCACGTGCAGGAAGAAGACGATGATGATGATATTAATGTCAACAGCGGGAGCATTGACAGCTACCGTTTGCCCGGCGCTGTTCTGAGTGTTTGTGTAGTGGACACATGCTCGCACCCTCCTCCTGATGACCCAGCGAGGCGGATCCTATGCCTGTCCCCACTCTGCAGAAAAACGAAGGAGTGCCTGTGTGCTTGGTGCTTCCGCTGGGAAAAATGGAGCCTTCTTCTGTCCTTTCCTGGAGCCAAACAAAAGCAGGGCCGCTAGGCCCCGGTGGGTAACCTGTTCGCCACCCAAGAGCACCAATCCCATGGAGGACTTGGGACTGAAGTCCCGCCTAGGCCCTGCCTGCCAGGGTGTGGGCAGCATCTGCCCCCAAAGGCAGCAGTGCCCTTGTCCTGCAGGTGGCCTCCACACCTCTCCGCGGCGCCACCTGCACCCCTCCCTGGCCTGTGGAGCAGCCTGCAGGGCTGGCGAGTGGGCAGAGAGGCCCCGAGATGGACCTTGGAGTCTGGCTACAGGACCCAGCCTCCTCCCCCATCAGACTGAGGAGTGATTTTTTTTTCCCTAGAATCCCTAGAGAGCCCAGCAGCCCTTGGGAACTCAGACGCTCCTAGCTCTTTCCCTAAAGCATCCCAAATGACTAGGGAAAAGCCCGAGTGGATATGTCACGGGGAGGAAGGGGATGTTGAGAGAGCACTGCTGGGGAGGGGGCCAGGTGCATACACTACAGTAGGAGCCGAGTGGGGGTCTCTGCTGCCAAGGACCTCCACAGGGGTCTTCACTCCAGGACCCCTGAGGTCAAGGGAATGGCCCCACTGGGAAAGACAATGGTGAGGGGTGTGGCCTTGTTGTGGGTTCCCAGCGCACACACCTCTGGTAGCTGGTGCTTGTCACCCAGAACGGAAGGCTGGCGGCCTCAGAGGAGGCCAAGGAGCTGCTGGCAGTAGCGGGGGAAGGGAGGGAGGCCCAGAGGGGTCCGGCGAGGACCAGGACTGTCCAGGAGCTGGCACTGAGATGGCAGCTCGGACCCTGAGCTTGAGATCTAGGACGGCAGATGGACTCAGGGAGGACTGGCCCCAGGGAACAGCGGGCAGTGCCGAGCCAGGCAGAGTCGCTGGTTGCCTGGGAAGGATTGGAACAGGATTCCATCTAAGTAGAGTTCTGTGTGATGCTGGACAAGGGACTGACCCTCTCTGAGCCCATTTCCTTGTCTGTCAAATGGAGATAACGTCATCTATGGTGTAAGCCAGTGAGACTTCACCAGCCTGGGATCCAGAGTTTAAATCAGCGCCTGGCGCACAGTAGGGACTCAGTTAACACTGAGTCTCCTTGGAGTCCAGCTCAGTTGTCCCAGTCTGAGGATGGGGATTTGCCGGTGAAGCCGGGTGGAAGGAGCCTGCAGGAGCCTGGACCTGTGTGCTGACCCGGGTTCTGCAACCACGCTGGGGGCCTGGGCCGTGCCAGTCACAGCCCTCAGTTCCCTGCTCCTGGTGTCGCATGCTAGGGGAAGTCGAACCAATGGTTCCACCGCCTCTCCCAGTTGCTCTGCGGAGTTGCCAGAGGCTGGCAGGTAACTGAGAAGTCACAGGGCCGGCGCCGCGGCTCACTTGGCTAATCCTCCACCTGCGGCGCTGGCACCCCGGGGTTCTAGTCCCGGTTCAGGGTGCCAGATTCTGTCCCAGTTGCTCCTTTTCCAGTCCAGCTCTCTGCTGTGGCTCGGGAGTGCAGTGGAGGATGGCCCAAGTGCTTGGGCCCTGCGCCCGCATGGGAGACCAGGAGGAAGCACCTGGCTCCTGGCTTCAGATCGACGCAGTGCAGGCCATAGTGGCCATTTGGGGGGTGAACCAATGGAAGGAAAACCTTTCTCTCTGTCTCTCTCTTGCTGTCTAACTCTGCCTGTCAAAAGAGAGAGAGAGAGAGAGAGAGAGAGAGAGAGAGAGAGAGAAGTCAGAGTTCCGTCCTGTTCAAAGCCACTCGCTGGCTCCCACCACTCGGAGAAGGGCTGGGGAGGGCGGCTCAACCCAGGACAGGGGCATGGGGTCTCGGGCCACAGCAGCCTGAGGTCAGACCCTCTGAGTGGGTGCACACAAGTCACTTCACTGCCTGCATCTTTGCAAAGGGTTGGTGTCGAGGTTAGACGAGACAGCCCTCGCCCCCGGCTGCTGAGCCCCAGTGCCCTGCTGTTCTCTGCTGCACCCGCTACAGGCATTAGCTCGTTTGTTAATTTCCTAGTGGCTGTCATCGCCACATACAGATGCAAGCTGTCACTGTCATCACTCACCCGGCAGATCCTAAGGCAGGGGACGGAGGAGCCCCTCGGAGGAAGGCTGGCATTGGGGAGTGCCGAGCTCTCATCTTTCACACGCGAGTTGGGGGAGGGAGAATCTGGGCAGTGCTTGATGAAGGGCTTCTTACGGCAGTGTCCTTGAACTGGAGCCGGCAGCCTGGGAATTCAGACAGCAGAATTCCCAGGGGCTGCTAAGAACACAGATTGCTGCCCACACCCCAGCACCGGAGCTCATGGTTCAGCTGCAGGGGCCTGAGAACATGCATTTCGCACAGCTCCTGAGTGGTGCTCGGCGGTGGCCGTGGCCGTGGCCGTGGCTGCCGCTGCTTCTGCGGCTTCTGGTCCAGGGACCACACTGTGAGAACCCTGGCTTAGTTTCTGCTACAGCAGAGGGAACATGGTATTTGGAGTCAGGATGGAGTTCAAGTCCCTGGTTCGCCACTTACCAGCCCTGTGACCCTTGGGCTCACCAAGTCCCTCCTGAGCACCTGCCTGGATCCAGGGACTGCCAGCAGGTGGCCATTCGGGGACACTCCTGACTTAGCAGGCGCCCATCTCAGCTTTGTCTCCCCACGGGCCTTTATAAAAGCCAAGGTTCCGAGCCTGTTGCCACCCCGCCCCATCCCCTTTGTCACCCTTGTGCCCTGTGTCCCTGCAGGAGGAGCCCTTCGTCATGTTCCGCAAGTCGGACAGGACCCTGTACGGCAATGACCGCTTTGAGGGCTACTGCATCGACCTGCTCAAGGAGCTGTCCCACATCCTGGGCTTCTCCTACGAGATCCGGCTGGTGGAGGACGGCAAGTACGGGGCGCAGGACGACAAGGGCCAGTGGAACGGCATGATCAAGGAGCTCATTGACCACGTAAGCCTCAGGGCCCGCGCTGCAGGGCAGGGGCCCGGGACACTTGGGGCAGTGCTGTAGCCCACCAGGGCGGGCATCCTGGCAGATGGGGGCCCCAGGTGCAGGGGAGATGGAGACAGAGGTGTGATCCTGGGGTTTGGGGAGCCCCCATAAGAAGTATGCTCCAGCTCTTGGGCCTGCCTTGTTCATGCCCCCCAACTCCCAGCCACGCTCCTCCATACAGAGGCCCCTGCACCTGCCCTGAGGGGTTCTGAGCCAATCCCTGGCATCTTCGATGGCTTCATTCTGAAGGATTCTGCAGTTTCTGTTCTGTTTCTTTGAGCACTACCAAAGGATGTCCCAGCCATGAGGGCAAAGCAGCAGGCGGAGCCCCTTGCCAGCCACCGGGATGTCAAGACCCATCTGTCCCTGCCTGGGGTCACGCTGAGTCCGTGGGGGAACAGATGGTCGCGGGAGCCGAGGGCTGAGGCGTGGGGAGCAGCAAGGTTCAGCTGGAAGCCACCAAGAGGCAGCCTCTTGCTCTGCCCAGGAGAGAGGAGAGGGTCCAGGGGAGCCACCGAGTTCATGGACACGGGGAAGAGGGCAGAAGCCACAGACTTGGGACAGCACAGCAGAGTTCAAGTCCCAGGTCCTCACTCATTGGCTCCATGGCCAGGGGCCAGGCCCGCCTCTGAGCAGCTTCCCATCTCTACAGTGGGCGCGTGACCACTGCCTCCTGTAGGGCTGGTGTGGTGCTGGCACAGGGCCCAGCCTGCAGTGAGCTCATTAAGGGGGAGCCTTGGAAGGTGCTGCCACAAATACATCCCTGGTTCTTAGATGCCTGGGCCGGGCTTCCGGTCCAGGCCTTAGCACCCAGTCCGTGGGTCACTGGCTAAGTCCATCAGCCTCACTCAGCCTCAGTTTCTCCATTTCTGAAACAGGAGTAACTGGCAATCAACTGCAGCTACTGAGGCTGCTGGGCCTTGGGGGAGGCGCCCCTGGGAAAGGATCAACACCAAGTGCCTTCCAGCTCAGGGCCCTCAGCATGGAGGGAGCCCTATCTCTCCCAGAGCTGCGTGTGAATGCGCCAATCCGTACCAGACACGAAGCTTCCTTCTCCCACTTGCCTTCCTGGCAGCCTGGGGAGGCAGATGAAGGCCCGGCCAGTCAGTGGGATTCAGAGTGGCGGGGTCCTTGAAGGCTCTGTCTCTATGACCTGCACTCTGACTTCTGCAAGACCCGGCCTGACCCCTGATGCCAGGCCAGAGGTAGCAGCGGCCAGCAGTGAGGAGAGGCTCATTCTTCACTGCTCTGGGGCCATCTGATGGTGCTCCTGCCACTGTCTCAGGGGAGCCCAGCACACGAAGGCTCAAGCAGAGCCTGGCCCGGCGGAATTGTGGTCTGGGCAGGTCCCGGAAGTCTGGTGGGAGGGGCTGATGGTGATGAACTTGAACACAGGCCGGTTGGATTCGGCTTAGGGCTCCTGGACAAGGTTCTGAACCTGTCTGTGCCTCGGTTTCCCCAGCTGTAAAATGGGTCTGGTGTTGAGAAGACCTGCCTTCTAAGAGTGTGGTAAGGGCTCAGTTAACAGATGTGCATTGCCCATCAGCACCATCTCGGTATTTGCTGTATCCTTCCAGCCCCTCCTGGATGCGAGGGGCTTGTGGGAGGGGCTTCACCAGCACTCGCTCCAGCCATCATACCTGCCTCACGTTCTTCCCAGCTTGGGAGGCTCTGAGCAGACACCTGGAGGGGAAGCTGCTTCCAGAACTCAGTATAAATGGGAGGGAGTGGTGTTGTCACCGCTGTTAGTAATAACTACAATTATTATGCAAATGAGCCAGCAGGGCCCTCCCAGGGGGCCTCTCTGTGTTAGCAGCTCCCCTGCTTGCAGGCCTTGGGACTCCAGAGTTGGGGGCTCTGGGTGGGATGCCCACATTTGTAGAGGTGGCTACACGGGGGAGGGTGGGGAGGGTGTGGAGAGCAGGGGCCGTGTGTGCAAGCGAGCAGGGCCCAGCAGCCTTGCCACCCGCAGCATCCCCAGGGGTGGGAAGCTTTGAAGAGCTGTCTGCAGAGGGATAGGATCTGAACACCCCAGCGGCAGCCCGACCTTCCTGCACTGACCCTGGGCTGGGGCACAGCGGGGGCCTCTTCCACGGCCGGCCGGCGCTGTGCAGCTGGGCTATGCTTTGGGCGGCCCAGTATCCATCAAGGCCACAGGCCCTGATGGGACATGCAGGAGACCTTGTTAAAACCGATTCCTACAATTGATGAGCCTATTAATCCTAGCTTGGTGCCATTTTTAATAACATCATAACCGTTTATTAGTGTCGTCAGATAATTAGTCTTCTCGCTAGCTCATAGAAAGCGTGCTGAAGACTTGGCAATATTATTACTTCCTTATTAGGGATCAGAACGGAGGCGTAAAAGTGATGGATGCCCATCTTCCTAAGCTTCTGCCCCCCAAGGCCCATTTGGAGGCCCTGGGTAGAGCCTCGGACCAGCGGGACTTAGAATGTCCCTCCCTGACAGCCTGCTCACCTCGGTCCCACGTGCCCGGCCCTCTGAGGAGCCAGGGCTGTGGAGGAAGGGGGCACCTGGAGGACGCACCCCATCCCAGTGACGCACTTGCCTCTCCCAAGCCATCCCAATCCACGGGAGCACCCAGTACGATGCGACAGAGCAGGGGTCACTCCATCCGCCGCCCGTCTCCCTCCAAAGCCCTCACTGCCGCTGCTGCCACTGCCCGCGTGCCACCCTCTACCCTCTCTCACGGGTCTTATAGACCCCCCATGTGCTTTGTTGACTGTCATCCAATAGAAATGGGGCCCACGTCAGGGTCTTGTCCAGGTCAGTGAAGAGTGGGAAAGTTATTCAGCCTCTGTGGCCTCCGTGTCCACATCTATGGAATGGGAAAGATAAAAATAAAAAGCCGCATGGTGTAGCAGGTTGAACCTCCGCCTCTACCTGCAACACAGGCATCCTACATGGGCGCCAGTTCAATACCCGGCTTCTCCACTTCCTGTGCAACTCCCTGCTAATGCGCCTGGGAAAGCAGCAGGAGATGGCCCAAGTGCTTGGGGCCCTGCACCCACGTGGGAGACCCAGAAGAAGCTCCAGGTTCCTGGCTTCAGATTGGCCCAGCCCTGGCTGTTATGGCCATTTGGGGAGTGAACCAGTGGAGGGAAGATCTGTCTCCCTGTCTCTGTCTCTCCTCCTCTCTCTGTAGCTATGCCTTTCAAATAAACTTTTTAAAAATACCAAAATAAAAAGCCATTTCCTAGAGGACTCATCACGGGTCCTTGAGTCCTCCTGGCCTGGCCTCCTGCAATCTCAGCTCTCACAGACTGAGGTATCCTGTCTTGGCTGCTCTTCCAGGCCCTTGAACTAGCGGCGGGGGCGGGGGGGGGGGGGGGACAGGAGGCAGCCTGAAGGTGCTAAACAAACAGCCCCCAGGCCACAGGAAGCCGTTCTTTCTGTCATCTCTAAGCTCTCCAGCACACTGCAGTACATGCAGCTGGATCAGACGTTCTCCGGGCTCCTAGCCGGGCTGGGCCAAGGTGGGGACCAGGAGTGGTCCGCCCAGCCTTGGCGTGTCGTCCCCTCCCCTGTGAGGAAGCAGCACTGCCCAGATATCCCTTCTGCTTCCCCACGACACTGAGTGCAGAGCGGGGAGGGTGGCTCGGCTGGACGCGCCCTCTTCCTCTGCAGGATTCTTCCAGACAGTGAGTACCTGACAGACTGAACTTGGCCGCTGCCCAGCGCCTGACACGGAGCTGCAAACACACAGCACAGAGCCTTAGTGGAGAGAAACACGTGAGGCGGCGTGGGCTCTGGGGTCACAACGAGCTGGCCTCCCAGCCAGAGAGTACCAAGGGAAGGCCAGGTGTCACGGTTGTGACCCCGTCACCTACAGGACTCCCTGCCTGCCAACCAGGAGCCAGATCGTGGTTCTGGCCTGCGTGCGTGTGCACTGGTGTCAGAGGAGACCCTGAACACCTGTCTGCGTGTCCAGGAAAAGCTCCGCCCAAGCCACCTCCACCCAGGACCCGGGGCCAGTGTGCTTGGAAGCACTGCATTCTGGGAGCTCACCTGGGGCAGGTCGGAATCTTGGATGTTGAGGGCAGCAGAGACAGACTTTTTTTTTTTTTTTTTTTTTGGCAGGTAGAGTTAGACAGTGTAGACAGTGAGAGAGAGAGAGAGAGAGACAGAAAGGTCTTCCTTCCGTTGGTTCACTCCCCAAATGGCTGCTACGGCCAGCGCTGCACCGATCCGAAGCCAGGAGCCAGGTGCTTCCTCTTGGTCTCCCATGTGGGTGCAAGTGCCCAAGCACTTGGGCCATCCTCCACTGCCCTCCCAGGGCACAGCAGAGAGCTGGACTGGAAGAGGAGCAACCGGGACTAGAACCAGCGCCCATATGGGATGCCGGCGCCGCAGGCGGAGGATTAACCAAGTGAGCCACGATGCTGGCCCCAGAGACAGACTCTTGTTAGGGCAGCAAGGACTAAGGGGCCCTGGGGATGCTCAGGGCGTCGCCAGGATCTGTCTGGGGCGGACCAGCTAGCAGATGACGGCTGCAGGAAGGACTTGGAGCCCTGTTGAGAGTCACTGCGAGAACTGTCAACGCCAGGATTTGGACAACACAGAGCCCAGCCCGAGGAAAGGCCTGGAAAGGGCCTGGCAGGGGTCAGGCTGCATATGGACAGGTGCCGGAGAGCTTCAGGGTGCCGGAAGTACAGCGAAGGAAACTGAGTCCGAGGGAGCAGCTGGAGCAGGCGAAGCCGTGTGCTGGGCTCCCCCTTCCCTCCTGCAGACCTTCATCAAGCAGCGTCTCAGCCAGGGCTCCTGGGGCGCAGAGCTGGGGGCAGAAGCCTGTGCCTCTGCTCAACTTAAGGCGCGTGATGCTGGGGAGAGGCCAAGGGGCGCGGGGCAAGGAGCTGGAAGTCGGGAAAACCGACACGAGGGGCCATCAGTGAGCCGGTCGGTTGGCACGGAGCGTGACCAGTGGCTCATGAGTCTGC